AGTGACATCCACTAGTTGGTCCACCTTTGGTAGGGGGTAGTCGTCCTTGGGACATGCCTTATTTAGATAAGTGAAGTCTACGCAGACGCGCCATTTTCCTCCCTTTTTCTTCGCGCAGACCGTGTTAGACAGCCATTCCGGGAACTGTACCTCCCGGATGGCATTAGCCTCTAGGAGTTTATCGATCTCTTCGTTGACCGCTCGGGCGTGGTGCGGGGCCATGCGTCGTGGCTTTTATTTTACTGGCTTGTGCGCCGGGTCAACATGCAGCTTGTGTGTGATTATTTCGGGGTCTACTCCTGTCATTTCCATTGCGTTCCAAGCAAACACGTCTGCATTTCCCCTCATGAACTCAATCATCCCCTCCTGTTCAACTGTGGGCATCGCGATTCCAACTAAGAAGTATCTTTCCTCTTCTCCCTCCACCAAGGGCACCTTTCAGAGGTCCTCCACCAACCGTTCAGTTGGGTCAATCCGAGGGTCATCCATTCCTGGACGCCCGGACTATGATTGCTATTTTTCCAAGATTTCTTCCGAAGCGCGCCCCTCTTCTTGGGTGAGAGTCCCTGCTCTAACAACTGAATAAAAATAATTCTTTGCGGACGCTTGGTCCCCTCGGATCTCCATGAACCCCTCTGGCGTGGCGAATTTCAGTTTCTGGTGATAAGTGGAGGGCACAGCTCCCAACGCATGCAACCATGCTCGTCCCATGATCACATTGTAGGGAGAGTCCGTATCAATCACGACAAACTCGGTGTTGATGGTGAAGGGACCTGTGACAACTGGCAACGTGATTTTGCCTATGGGCAGGGCAAACAAGTCGTTGAATCCGATGAGGGGTGTCCTGACCTTGGTGAGGTCCTTGTGACCAAGACTCATCCGTTTTAAAGTGTCAGAGTACATCACTTCCGAAGAACTTTCAGAGTCTATCAACACCCTCTTGACGTCGAACTTGCCTATCTTCAGGGTTATGACAAGGGCGTCGTTGTGAGGAGTCACCACGCCCGTCAAGTCCGCGTCGGAGAACGTGATGCTTGGCTCGCCAATCCTGGCCCTTTTACTGGGTGGCCCCCCATCATTCTCGGCTATCTTTCTTGTAAAAGCTACCCTCTTGAGATCGAACTCGAATTCCTTGAACGTGGGACAATCTAGCAGACATACATGGATCACATCTATGACGTTGTCCGGCTCCTTGGTCAGGACTGGGGTGCGTCTCTCTTCTGACTGGGGCTCTATATATTCTTTTAAGTACCCGTCTCGGACCAATCTTTCCAAGAAAGATTTGTATACCCTGCAGCTTTCGGTGCGATGGCCAAAATCCTGGTGATAGGAACACCTGACCTTTTGATCACAGGTGGAGGGATCGCTCTGCATCCTGGGTGGCCATTTGAAGAATGGCTCATGCTTGATCTTATGGAGCAACTTGTAGATGGGTTCTTTGAACATAGTGTGAACTCCTTTGAATGACCCCCGGAGGAGGTAGCAGTCCCTTTCGGGAAATATCCTCCCGCTCCCTCTCTTTTCTCTTAGATTGGAGGGTTCTGCCTTTGCTGCTTCCCATCTCTTCCTCGATCCTAGAGTACTTGTTTATCCGGGTCATCAGCTCGCCCATATCTGAGGGAGACTTTTTGGTCAGGGATCGGTACAAGTCCGTGTCCCTCGCCAAGCCAAGCCTGAAAGACGCCGCTGCCATGACTTTCGAGCAGCCCTCTACCTCATTAACCTCTTCCCAGTACCGGATGGCGTATTGGTGAAGGGTCTCGAATTCCCTCCGTCTGAGCGTTAGCAATGATCCAACGTCTTTAGGCCTCTTACTCCCCATAATGAATCAGACCAGGAACTGCCTCGTCAGTTCTTTCCATGATCCAATGTTGTTGGGGGGAAGCGCCTCGAACCACTTTATCGCAAAGTCCCCCAAGCTCATGGGGAACACTCGGCAGAAGAACCATTGGTCTGAATGATACAGGGACATCATTTGCTTGCATTGCCGGAGGTGGGCTTCGGGATCGGACCGCCCATCATAAGTTTTGAACCTCGGCACGACGAACTTTTTTGGAACCTTCATCTCTCCGATATCCCTGGTAAAGGATGTTTGTATGACCTCGTCTTCGTCCTCATCCTGGACAGTCTTACTCTTTCTCCTCGATTTCAACCGAGCTCTGAGATCAATTTTCTCCCCAACGGGATGTCTTCTGAAGTCTCCAAGTTCATCAATTGGTCCCCCATTTCCTGGGCGTCGTGTGGATAGGGTTGAATCGTCCTTGGACTCATCTCACTTCCTCCGTCTTGACAATCCTCGTCGGAGGTCGTCCAGGGCTAAAGGTTTTGCCTTCCTGGAATGGTCGTTAAGAGGGTGCTCGTTGGTTCTTGGTCGCTTTGGGGCCCTAGAGCTTTCTGCCTTGTTATTTAAATGATTCCTTAGATCCTTTGTTTCCGCCTCCTGGGCGGGGAGTCCACGAGAAAGGAATGAGTCCCTCGACCCTTCGCCTGAGGCGATGAATTCGTTGAGCCGGCTTAGAACATTCACATTGTCTTTCTCCAACTGTTGTAATCGATCCCCAAATTTTTCTTCGATCACCTCCGCCAGTTGACGAGCCAAGGGGGCGGATCCTCCTGACCTGATGCCCATACTGGTTTGAGGAGTAAGTTCCCTTAACTGAATAGAGACGTTTCTGTTGTCATCAGCGTGACCCTTCCCTCCATTATGACGAGGAACTTGTAAATCGAGACTTCTTTGTTGGGGACATTTCCATTTTTGTCGAGTATTCATCATGATCACTATTCTTTATAGAGAAGAAACTAGGAAAATTAGTCGTTTCCCACAGACGGCGCCAGATTGTGCGTGCAGGATCTTGCACAATATAAACACGAGAACAGATCTCTCTCGTAGTGAACTCGAGTCAGTTAATCAAACGGTCACCCTAGCTATTTGGAACGGGCTGAGATCCATTGGTGGCCTGGAAAGATAATGGGTGATTTTCGTGGGTCAAAGGAGCGGTCCAGTAAGGCTGAGAGATGTTCCTGGAATAGAGAAAGATGAGTTAGAAGGGCGCCGGAGTGTTTTCTGGCGTATCCCCTCCGACGATCAAATCAGTTTTTGAAAAAGGGAAAGAAGAAAACACTGAGTATAGATTTGAGAAAAGGTTTTTTTTGTTGCCTCCCGTCTTGCCTTTTGCGAGGAGTATTTATACCTCAAAACTCATGATTGTTGTCAGTGTGGTCAGTAGGTAATCATTAGATATGGGCAACGTGCACATTGATTCCTATGAGGAATGTCTTCTCTCTTAACTGCTCGGGACCCCGAGCAACCAATGTTGCGTCATTGGGCTGCCAAATGTTTAATGAGCTCCTCTCGGCAAGGGTGTAATAAATGCCCAGTCTCAGAGACATTTATTACATTTCTCTTCCGAGCCTTACCGCATTAAATGTTGTCTCATCAACGGAATGGTCTAATTAAATGCTTGCTTTCCCAAATCGTGTGTCAGCAAGGGCATCAGGTCTTTTTGTCTCTGATGTGACACAATATGCCACGCGCCCATTCCCCATTGGTTGTGTCTTCTGTTTTCCTGTGCCTTCTGACACCAATTGTGTAAGACGAGGTCATGATGGCTAACCTAGTCTAGCCTAGGCTAGCGACCTGTATATCAATAACCTCTGCAGGAGCAAAGAATGTCATCCCGAGGGGTACATCTCGGTACCAAGGGGAGTGGTACATTTAGGGACCGATGTACCCATATCCGCCCCCGAGAGATACGTGTCGGTATGTAACGTACTGGTTATCATTGATCCCTATGAACAGTACCTCGGGAGAAGAGGAACTTGTGATCCGACGGGTACGTCTCGTGATTACAGTAATAAGAATTTACTGATGCCGAGAGCACGTGTCTTCATCTTTGAGTATTTGAAAATGTCTCATCAGACTCCTAAAGGGATTATAATGCTATTAGTGAGGTTTTGGACAAAAACTGCAAAAATAATAGTTTGAATCATTGATAATCTTGAATGACTGAAGTGTGTGTTTGTAATAGGTGAGCGTATAACTAGAGGTTAAAAAAACTCTAAATTCTTTAAAAGTTGCCAAAAGCCAAATTGTGTAAAAAAAACCTAACATGGCCAATATAAATGAGACTCATCAATACATTACTTGTCATGAGAGAAACTGGGGAACTCTTTTTAGAAAAATCGAATTTCTTAGGACACGGACGTGAAAGTTTTTTTCATGGCAATCTAACGGTGTGTTTATTAACTCAAATTTAACACTTAAAATAAATATATTCAACACTTATTAATTAAACTCGTTTGATAATCAAAATTTAAACTCTTTTAATATGTTAAGTACTTCTTAAAAATAGACTACAATATTAAGTAAGAGATCTCTTACTTAATTCTGAAAACTGAAAACGCTCAGCAAAATTATCTTTAATAATATTTAAAATATGACAATTATACTCCGAAATTTTTTTCAATTCTATTAAAACTCCAATTATTCTTCTCTTCAAAACCTCTAACCTATATATTTTTCTTGTCGATCTTTTTTTTTTTTTCTTATCTTCTGTAATAAAAATATAAATACATAATTATAATTACATACACAAACGTACAAACATATGCACTGCACACACACATACTTACATACACACACACACGCACACGCACATATTGTTAATAAAATCTAATTTATTGTATTTTTTTAATATTATTTAATTATTTATTAGTTACTATTCTTTTTTTTTAATTAGATGTTATTATTCACTTATTATGTTATTCAATTTGTTATTATTCACTTCTTGGGTAATTCAATTGATATTTATTTATTTATTTTGATCAAATATTTGTTATGTGTAGACTACAATATAATAATAGTAATTATAATTTATGTTATGACATTTTATAAATATTTTCAAATTAAATAATAGAAGGATAAAACTGAAAATTAATTTATTTTCAAACGTCAACACTGTGTAGTTATTAAATAGTTTAATTTAATTCAGTACTTAAATTTCAGTGAATAGCAAACAGTCCACAAATTCAGCATTTAGCTTTCAGTTTTCCGACTTCAATTTTCGGCTTTCAAACTTCAGTTTTCAGATTTATCAAACATCACCTACATAGAGCACTCAATTGGTACAAGAAACCCTCTACTGATTCAAAAAAACCAAGAAAAAAAACTCTCTCCTGCTATTTAAAACATAATGAAGTGGTTATATTCTCGTACTCAAAAGTTCATAGGTCTTCACTCAAGCAACATCATAATCAACTCATTTTGTCTGGATGATGAAAGTAAAGCCAGTAGGGTGCACATCAGCAGTAATAAGCAGGTAATTCACATATAGCCTCATGGTTGCCATCAACTTCAAGCTCAATCCCCAACAACCTGGTGCAGGTGCACGAGCTAATAGACGACCAAGCTGTGGAAAGTATCAGAATACAAGATTAACAACACACATCCATAGTAAAAATATTTCTTTTCATTTTGCCATCGTAATGAACATGGTTTATGATGGATAGTACAGTATTCTTAGATATGTGGAGTCAGAGTCTAAAATAAGTCAAACCCAAACCTATCCATTACCATACACCTGTGGATAAGTTACTTTTAAAAACTCAGACTAGCGAAGCTACCTACATTCAGAGCAAGAACAGACCTTGAATCCAGTTTCAACTTTAAACTAAAAATCAACTGAAATTCCGTGATATAACCTGCAATTTTGAAAGCCAAGTTCTTTTGGTTAAGCAATGCAATGGTATGGCTTATATCCAATAGCCCACAAGGGATGCATCGAATGTGAGAAAACTTTCAACTAAAACAATCAATAGAATCTGTGACAGCTATTTAAGTGATACTACTATATGGTGAAGAGGGCTTACCTCAGATATTAAGGGTTTGGCATTCTCTTCCCACTCAGTCGCCCATCTTGCAGAAGAACCCATTTCCAGTACACCAGTCCTCAGCAACTTCAAAGCATCACATTCACCTGGAAAACCCTTGAAAAGCATCTGTACAGATTTGGCAATTGACAACATAAAATTCAAGCCATATTTCATGAGAAACACTCCAGAGTATTATCACCCAGGTAATGAAGGCAAACAAAAAACTCTCTTACAAAGTAATATTAGGTTAGGAAGCCAACCAAGGGGTGTATTAAAAATTTACATCCATGTCTGGTGCCACGCATTCTCCGTCCCAAGTTTTAGATGCAACAAAGGTGTAGTGCTATATTCTCTTTTTAAGAAAACACTTCCAGTGTCGTGCTAAACTTAATGGGCCTATGCCACAAAAATTTAAGTATAGTGCTGCCATGTGACATCTGCTTGGTTGTGAACGACTACCCAAACCATGATTCAATAACCCACAGAGTTACCCTTTAATACCTACTCTGCAATTTAGTGTCTGTGCTGTTTAGGAATAGTTCTGAGTAAGCCACACAACATTAGACAACATCTCACATGAACAAGTTTCAATTTTTCAGAGATTGACAAGAAACAGGAGCATATTTTGTAAATTATTCTAAATCCCTAGCACAATAGATAAGAAGATGATAACAGACACCAAAACTCTCGTTACATTTATCCAACACCATATACATAGAAGAATGGAAGAAGAAGGTATGAATTATTGATGCTTATTGATCACAAAATATAATTCCAGCCAATTTGAACAAGCTTACCATGAGCTCATCAGCTAGCTCTGAAGATGATGAGAAGAGCAGGCCATTTTTTTCAACTTTGACAAGCTCCTTGATGCTTCGGAAAAAGAAAAATTGTAAAAACAACCAATTGGAAAACAAGATTCATGTAATGTTTCACCCCTATATCACACAAGTCGCGTAAAGGAAACGATACCAAGAATAGGAAACGGCACAAACAGGCAGTCCACAGCCAAACATATCCACCACCTAATGGCAGAACATTCAAGGACAAGAGATTACTTACTCGTTTACATTTTTCATGCATAAACATCAAGCTTCAGGAGGTATTACAATTTGACATTATCTACCTTCATTGGAAGATCCAACCCTGATGAGGAAGTATGCAGGCAAACACCTAGATCTGCTGATCCTGTACACGCGGCAAAGAAAGGGTAATGAAACAGTTACTGGAAGCAAGTAATAAACAAGCAGTTAAACTATAAATGGCTCACCAAGAAGCAATGGATAATCCTCAGCTGGCAGCCACATGGTTCGAAATGCTACACGTTTGAGGTTCAGCTTCCTTATTTTGGTTTCATATTTTTCTTTTTCAGGCCCTTTACCTTCACAGGTTTAGAAGACTTCAAGCTTGCAACATTCAAAATTTTTCTTACCAGCTCCATGAAAATCTGATTTTACAGCTCAAAAAACAGAATTATTACCAGTTATGATGAATAACAACCTTGGGTATGGGAATTGCTTGCCCTCACAAATTTCCTTCCAAACAACTTCTTCCCCAGATGAGTCATCCTCATTTATGAGTGCAGCAACACGTCTATCATACATAAGTGCTGCTTCCAAAAGAATGCCAAAATCTTCATCTGGAGTCCTGAAAAGAAGTATCATTGAATACAATATGCATAAATGAGTTTTGGGAAATTCTCAAAGTTGAATCCCTTGCCAAAAAGTCTATTTATGCAGTAAACATATTAGCATAAATGAAACAAAACTAACGAGGTAAAATTCAATAGGGAAATATTTTTCCTTCTGGGGTTTGTCTCATAATGTCAAACTATTGACATGTATACGTGACATTTTTAAGACGAAACATTTTTATAATACTTAAGATAACAGCTACTGCTCAATATCACTCAAATTCCTTCTGTTAAATTTAGATGATAGTTTATCTATCCCAATCTTGTCATTCTTGAAACCAAGCCGACCCAAATGAAGCAGCTTCGTGCAATAAAAAAAGATGTATCAACAATGAAGTCCAGAGAAAAAGAGCAACTATAAAATTGAAGAAAATGGCAATACTCAATGAAATTGTCATTTTTTGGTACTTTATTATAGCCATTATATCTATAGGATGGGTAAATTACGTAAAGTGAGTCTTGATCTTTGTTTTACGTGCAGTGCATCACATGCGCGGTGCATTGTTGTTAGTAGCAAGACTATAGGGGAATCTTTTGGCATACTCGTTCTTAAACATAGAAGAAAAAGAAATACGATATCAAGAATGGAATAAAACATGATCCAACTGCTGCATGAGAACTTACCAGCTTGTACTGCTAACAATGAGGGCTGGCCTGTTCTGATTCAAGAATATATCAGTGCCGACTTGGGTTGTAAGTAGAGTTACATTGGGATCACCCTTGTCAGTTCCTGTCAATACGTGCGAACATTATCCAAATTAGTGTTGACACTAACTAAACCTCATCTGAATCCTAAAAACAGAGATCCAGTGTTACTAGTTCATATTACCATTGCTGATGCAATCACAAAGACCAAAAGGCTGAGCCAAAAATTTGTCAATCCTACAAAACAGCTATATCCATAGTTCACATTTAATTGGTCAAGCCAATGTCTCTTAATGAGAACTTTGCAATAAAAAAGTTTAGTCACCATGTGCTTCTCCTCAAGGGATGCAGGACGAAAAAACTCAGGAGGCTGATCATACAGAACTGTAGCACTGAAATTTTGAAACACGGAAATTGGCATTAATGAACCTAATAGTAAATTTAAACAAGCAGAATTCAGAATATCACAACATTTTAGCTAACCCTCTTACTTAATTCCCCAGTTTTGATCCAATTCATGTTGCATTGCCCTCGTCACACATAAGGAACCATTTGCCATTTTCCCATAATGCCTCTCAATCCTAAGAACATGTTAAAACTTCAAATTTCTGGTATAAGGCCAAAAACCAGCCCTCAAAATATGTAGAATTTTTTCAAAGGAAATTCAACTATACCAACGATATAATGCCACAAAACGACTACTTCTTCCGAGAGACAATGCCAGCAGCGTAAATCCATAATTATGCCAATCTATGATGAACTTGGAATGCCTCAGCCAGCTGGCCCATTTTACAGCCACTAAGGTAGGAACTGATGGTGGATTCTACAGAGCAGAAATAATGTAATCTTAGTTATGCTCAAGAATGCAAGCAAGAAGAGCAAGAGTTCAAGATTAAAAGTGATTAGAATCATCAAACATAGCTATGCCTCCCATGCATGATCACAAATTATTTGGTTGGGCCTTTGTTGAATTGTGGCCAAAATAATCACAGTGCAAAACCACATGTTAAAAAAAAAAATTGGCCATCAAGGGGGGATATTGGAAAATTTTGGATTTCTGGAATTCAGTGAAAATGGACATTCAGATTTTCTATCAGGAAGGCACCCTTTAAATTCAGTGATAAGGTGGGGACATTGCATGATCACGAATCCCAGGAAAAAACCAAGAAAATTTGGAAATTTCATATTGATATTCAACTTCGCAATTAACCATAAAAACACATTTGTTGAAAGTTGGTTTTTGAGAGGTATGCAGGAACAGATGATATCTTGCTGGGTACATAGAATCCACAACAAATGTGTATACAGCTTGTGGCAATAAAATACCATGAGATTTTGAATGATGATAATTTTTCTATGCAAAAAACTACATGGCACTCAAAAGAATAATAAAACTAATATGAACCCAAGAATATTGAGCAAGAAATTATACATAGAATAATGTGTAATATACACAGCTGTGACAAATTTGATGCCAGAGACTTTACCAGAAAACGATAGCAAATTTTGGTCAGCCGCATATTACATTTATTTACTCATAGCAACACTCAAGCAGTCACATGGGGAAATAGCAATTATATATATTTTTCAGACTTGAAGTGAAGTTACATAACCATGAAGGAGTTAAACAACAGACCTCACCTAAGTAGAAGTTGAAAACTCACCTGCACAATGAAAACATCAGGAGCGGGTATCGCGACACAAAGATACCAAAGAAGCATAAGAAACTGAATCAATGGCTTGAGCATAAGCATCAAAGGACGAAATATCTTCGGTAAACTTTGTGGAATTGTTGGCCACTGTGCCTTTAAGAAAACAAGAAATCCAAAAAGTGAAAATTTTATTGACTAATTTAAACAACACCAAGTGTAAGAATACTGGTTAACAATCAATACCATCTTATGAATATGAATAGATCGGTGCTGTAATACAGCAGAGTGGGGATCCGAACCTATCCAAGCATTCAGAATGAAATACAGGTCTCAGTAACTAGCGAAGAAATAAGATAAAGAGATAAGGAATAATTTGGTGTAAAACATTGCCACTGATACACAATAAATATTTGTGGGGATACAAGATCTTTTGAATCACACTGGCTTTTAGTAACTTCAAATGTCAGGAGTTGAGGGATGAAAGTACTTGTCCTTACCCAGTATAGAAACCCTCATAAATTCTTACATGTACTCCAACTCCACTATGAGAGGGCACACAAATTGGCGTTGAACAACATCCTCAGCGGCTGCCCCTATTCTCGAGTTGTTGCATATGTTGCCCTCTAAGACCCTATGTTCACAGACAATAACAAGTTGAGGTCCTCAATGACTACCCCTACTCTCACTCTCGTACATGTGCTGCCCTCCGAGCCCCCATGTTGTACTCAGATAGGGCTGGCAGAGCGATCTTGTATCCGCTACTCACTATTTTGCTACGTTGCTAGGCTAAGACCCTACATCAGCATTCATATTTTGATCATAGCAGAAAATGTTTGGCACGTGGTCATCCTATCCCACCTGGCAAACTATGTGAATCAATGAATAATTTAATGGTGATCAGGTTCCTAAGCTCTTAGAGCATAGTCCAGTGTGACACCATAGGGCATTGCAGCCATCTCTCAGCTCATACCCTCCAAGAACCCAAATACACGTTGAACGAGGGATCCATCATGATGTGAGGCCCCAACATGGAGCACTATGCCATGGCCCTATCAGAAAATGAGAAATACTACCGAAGATTCCGCACACGACTTCAACCCATGCCACCTTAATCCTTCAGTTGCCGGACCCACATTATTATAATTAAAAACTCAAGTTTTACAATGGTACCAAGCAATGGCCTATTAACATCCAAAACAAATTTATCATAAAAAGTAATCAGCATGTAAGAATTTCTAATTCAAGTGTTACATATGAAACATACCTCCATAAGCAACAATATCCACCTCTAGACATGCCTGGAAGATGAACGAAAAGGTCAAAAATCATAAAACATGTGCAAAAGGATATCACTGGGCAATCAAATACTGCACATGGAAAGTTAAAACTAATACATGTGGATTACCTGACGGGCAAGCGAAAGGGCGTGATATTGCATACGAGGACTGCGGCCAATATCGCCAAGAACAACCACAGCTGCCCTACCTCTCCTCCCAATCTGTGCTTCTTCTTTTTGCCCTAATAAATCATCAATTTTTGTCACACTAATTTGTATTATATACATCTATTGAGACATTTGATTCTTGTGTAAAGAAACAAAAGATCTCAACAAAGAATTAAACGATATACGAAAAGAGAAACGTACCTGACATGGGTAAAAAAAGTTAGTTTCGCCTCTACGGTCTACTGTGATGTTATTTTGGTAGTGACAAAGTTAAGTTTAGTTCTTCATCTCTGTAGCTGAATGGAAGGCACCACCATGCGTCATCGGAGATCATGCAGTCACGATTTTATCAATATCTTCGTCTTGGAGGAGGCCAGCGATTGTGTGCCGGCAGGGTGAGAGGCGAGGGTTCTTAGACCAAGAGAATTGGAGAGAGAGAGAGAGAGAGAGAGAGAGAGAGAGAGAGACAGAGAGAGTGAGAGAGAGAAGACGAGATCGTGAGAGGAAGTGACAAACGGTGAGGCAGCAAGAGAGTGAGAATGTGATTTTAGGACTAAAGGTCTTTATAGTAATAGATCCAACCCGCCCGATTAGACAAGAACCGTTCAGTTCACGCGGCTTTAGTTACGATCGCCGAGTCGTCCGAGTCTGTGACGATTTTCATAGATCCAATATGATAACCCGGACAGGTCCTGCCGGGTTTAATAGCACAACAGATTGGGTTTAGATCGAATTCCGACAGATTCCAATTTGAAGTTGATTTTCAAAATTTCGATCCGATAATTCGATGGGTCTTATTTTTGTGATATTAGAATCTGTTAATAATTCGAAATTTAATCAGGTCCAATTCAAATAACTTAATTAACTAAATTATAACAAATTATACTTAATTTTTTTAAATAATCACATAATTTCTTCGATATTTATATAAAAATAATTTGGATCAAATCATAATTAAATTGGATATAGGTAAAACCAAATTCAAATTCGTAAAATGTAAGATTTCAGATTTAGATTGTCAATAACAATATTAATCTATATCCGACTAATCGATTCGGATTAGAATCTGATCCATTGACAGACCTTAGTATCACCAATCAATTATAAAGTACCATATGACTTAGTAAACCTTCATTTCCAACACCTATTGTTTTGAATTAAGTGTAATTTGTTAGGTGTGTTAGAGTTTGTTGATAATATCGTGTATCGTTGATAACATGATATCATTATCCCACAACATTTTTTTTTTTTTTTGCATCAAAAAAATTTATCAAATACTACTCGTACATTTAGGTTTGTCAATGGGTCTAATTGGAACCAATCTTGCCCAAACTAAAGACGAATTCTGTGTACTTATGTAGTATGTCACTATACGTGGATAAGAAGAGTTCATAGAAAATCTCATTATAGCACATTGTAGGACTTTTTGTTCAATGTTAGGCCTGCAAAATCATTATATTAGAGTTAGTTTGAAGGCTTGAGAGTGTTGATTTTTACTCTTCTAAGAGCAATTCCAATTGGCTATTCCTCTTTTTTAGCTATTTTGGTGAGCAACACTCAAAAATTCAACTCCAACCCACTAGTTATCCATCTCGCCTAAATCTAGGAAGCCAAATTTGCTTGCCAGATTTAGAGAGGAGAAATTATTCTCCACTTGTTACTACTCTTTCTTGGTGCTACTCCTTGCTGCTGCGTACAAAAATTCGTCAACTGTAAACTAGATATTTATCTCCCCTTCCTCTTTCTGCTCCTTGTTGTCGTTGGTTGTTAGCAGTGATCTCACCTCTGTCTTCATCATCTTCTCCAAGAGTTGGTCCAGGTAATCTTCTTCATCTCCCACCCCCAACCTACAAATCCCCTCCCCCAATTTCGAAACTCACCTCCCCCAAACCCATCCTAAAAACCCCTTTCCTCCAATTTTGAAAATTTCCCTTCTCTAAAACCCAAATTCTAAAAACCCCTCTCCCCCCAGATATAGAAAACCCCCTTGTACAATGAAATATTTAATTTTAGACCCTATGAAATATTAACGCAAATATTTATGAAAATTTAAATTATATTATTAGGCTATGGTGTATTTTTGAATTATATTATTGAAAGTTAGTTAAAATAGTTAGCTAAAATGGAGAGTGTGATTGGAGTGAATTTAAAAAAAATGGTTAGTTAAAGTAGAGAATATAATGTTTAAATATGTTGACTAGTCATTTTACTGAGCAAGATTGGAGTTGCTTTAACATGCACATTTCAGGAAATTATTGCAACATTTTTTAGTTGTCCCAGTAATTGCTATTTTCTTTTCTTTTTTTCTTTTTTTTTTTTGTGTTGGTTTGTTGGTATTTGTTATCCAATTTTAACTTTCTCGAGAGCAAAAGCGATTTTAATCCATCCCAAAAAATAAAATCCCAAATTATCAAAATTATTTTGTGAACAAGAATTATTCTCAAGATGTTTAATTATGCATTTTCAAATCTATTAGCCAAACTGAGTTATTCATTTATGGTTACATAAAATATGTAAATTGTTACGAACTAATGGATAAAATTTGTCCTTGAAAATCGACTTGTGAGGAAAAAATGTTTAATACTTTATATACTAACATCTAATCTTATTTTTAATCGATGTGAGATCGTAACATTCCATCATGCTTTCGTAGTCAACGTTGCATGACACGACAACCCCCTCTATCAACACTGACCCAGTTGCCCTTTATGTTTGTCAATAAGTATTTAATGAGATAACACCATACTCATATATAATACTAAGTCATCTTAATTCAGTCTATAGATGACACCTTCCATGACTCGACCATAGAAAACCACAACTTATATTACATTCGATTCCATACTCAAGGTGATGACTAGTTCTCATACCAAATGTCATGAATTCATGGGTAAAACTTGTTCTTGAAAACTAACTTGCAAGAGAACGGTGTCCTAGAGTTTATATACACACGTCTAATCTTTTTTTTTTAACCAGAGATCGTAACACAAACTTTTATGTTGACCACTGCAATAATTGCAATTTTTTATATCAAATCCAAAAATATAACTATTGATCAGCTTCTGCAGTAGTTAGAATTTCTTACAGCAAAAATGTGAAGACATACCACTGCTATCTGGACAACTGATATTGCCCTTTCATACCCCTCATAGCCAAACATAATTAACAGAAATTTGACGAACCAATAGAGAAAGAATATACAGTGAAAGCAGCAGTGGCCATTGATGTAAAATATATCCATGCTTAGTTTCATTCAAAACGTTTCGACAAAACATATGTAGATTATAGGAACATAATCGAGTTTCCAAAGGACAGGCAGGCTCCTGATAATAATATAAATGTAACTATTTCCAACCTTCTTCTGCCACAACAAAGGCAGTTGCCAATCTTTTTGTCCTGATTTTATAACCTGGGTGCTCGACGAGGGTGAGGAACGTCCCAGTCGGTAACAATATGGTTACGGGTGATTTCTTGAATTGAGCGGCAACCACTTAATGCCATAGTTAGCTCAAATTCATCACGCAGCATTTGGAGTACTTTCCTGACACCGGCTTCTCCTTCAGCAGCCAATGAAAACACCACAGGTCGCCCAATCTGAGATTGAAACCACCATCGAATGAGTCTCTATCTCTTATACCGTAAATTTAATCAAGAATGTTGAGTCAAAAGATGACATGGTATGCTAATATTACCCAAATGAATGACACAACAACAACGACAACAACATCATGACATTAAAGATGGCCTAACATGTATGATTCTCGAGGAATATAAGCCCTCATGTGTTTCAATGGAACACATTGCTAAGATAGAGGCTTATGTATAATGCTCAAGCATTTACTACAATACAGATAAAAAAGCTTCTCCTTGCTGAACAGTTTTTTAATCTTTTGGTTTGGAAAAGAACTCAAAATTTGTTCACTGAAGAAGTTTTCCTTGAGGGAAGTTTTAGTAATTATTGAAGTTGAAATGATTTTTCTCAGAAGGGTGTCAGCTAAAACATCAGTTCAGCTCGGTGAAAGATTTCCACACCAAGAGAAAAAGAGGAAAATAAAACATAGGAATATAAGACTCCACCATCCTAAAGAATATGGAAAGCAGGGTTCTCTATATGTCCATGTAAGGTTTTTTCGAAGCATATCAATGCTAAATGTAGATTGAGTGACGTCCACAACGGAAAATAAGGGAAAAAAAAAAGGGGGGGGGGGGGTGGTGGTTCCATGCCATGTGTGCTACAATACGTACAAATATGCCAGAAGCTCCAAGTGCCAATGCTTTAAAGACATCTGTTCCGCGGCGGACCCCACCATCCACGAATACTGGGACACGGCCCTGTGCAGCTTTCACAACCTGGTTATCTCAAAGAGCACATTGTATCAGAACATAATGGAGGCCAGTTTTCATATCAATGCAAGTTACAGTAGATATGTCATGTATGTGGTAATCACAGGGACACCAATTATTAGGCGAGAACAAGTTGTATAACCTCTTCCAGAGCCATGATAGTGGCAGGGACGTAATCAAGTTGCCGAGCACCATGGTTGGATACAATAATGCCAGCTGCTCCACATTGAATAGCTAGCCTTGCTGCAATCTCAGCGTAGAAAATCTCATGTTGCAATTATTACATAGAACTGTGATAATGGAGTGAAATTGACTAGAAGTTGTGTAGTTCTTACTGTCCTCAGCAGTGAGTACACCCTTCACAAGGATTGGCAAAGTAGTGATTGTCTGAAGCCACTTGACATCCTGTCCATTTCCCAAGATGAAATTATTAAGATCATGTTTTTTTTTTTTAAGCCTGCCATTAAAAACAGTCAACCATCCAGGGATTATTGTTTCACTTAAGGATCGGGCCTAAACTCTCCAGCCTAATCGACTCAAACGAAGTTGTCACCAATTTCCAGCATATTCAAGCTATATAACTTGTTTACATTTTACTGAAATTGAGATATATTCCCCATCACGTTTTGGCTGGAAGTTATTTTTAAATCATTCTTGTTCCTAATTACTATACTATGAAACACATAAGAGTCAAAGGACGCAGTTTTCAATGATTTTCTGAATTCTCAGGTAACAATGACTTCAAAAAGCAGCAGAAAATGAGTGCTTAGACACGACATGCCAAAAGACTTTGAAATCATGTCGATGGCCGACAATGTTCTACCAACGTTCACTCCAACTTACCTTCCAGCTCAGAGAACGATCAATTTGACCAGCAACATATGAAGCTAACCCAGAGTCACTAGCCTGCACATCAACAAAACAAATCAAAATAATTTCGCAAACTGACTAAAAATAACAAATACGACTGTTATGTTTGCCACTGACTTCATTCATCTTGCCAAGTTCCAAGCCCTCAAAGTTCTTCAATGTCAAAAATGGTGGTAAAGTAAATCTGTGAAAACAACCAATCATAAGAAATTATTGGATATAAGTATGCAATTTTAAACTCTTTATCACTGCTAGGCCCCGTTGATTGTAAGATAGAACAACCTTATATTATGTGTCTTTTATTTGAATAAAGTATTTGGATCGAAGTGTGGACCTGTTCTTGATGTCAGCTTCTCTGCGTCCCAGCCTTGGGGTATCAACTGTAAGAGCTATAGCCTTGAAGCCAGCCCTTTCAGCTCTTCTCACAAGCTGGGCAACAACATTCCTGTCCTTGTACACCTGAACATTGGAAGCAGCAGATTTATCACTTAGCCTAAGCATAAAATGAATATACCCACACCTCAAATTCCAGATGAAAAACATGTAATCAGCAAAAATAAGATGCAAATTCTAAAGCTTACATAAAGCTGGAAAAAACGGATGCCAGGTCCTGTTGAAGCGACCTCTTCAACGCTAGAAGTAGCCCAGGATGACAATGTCTGAAACAATTAATGGATAATGCATTAATCAAGTAAAGCATGCTAAAATCTCATGAATACATTTTCACCGATTACGTCAAAATTTTGAATACAAATAAGATTTTATGGCCCAAAGAAATCAAATCCAGATAACATTTTTAATCTCTAAGACAGTTTTACAGAACTTAACATGTATGATGAAAATTATAAATCTCTCCTAAAAGATGCGTACACAGTACATATGCTCAACAAAACAGCAAAAAAATAGCTGCTTACCCTGGAAAATGATTTGTTGTGGGTAGCGCTGCATTGTTTAGAGCTAATATAGTCTACAAGGACGTAACAATATCTTTGGTTGTTGATGGGTTATAGCCACCGGCCCTCTTCATTGCACAAGGTAAATTCTCCTAATTGAAATCATATTTGTTGGTAGTGTCTAGCCAAAATGCAAAATGAGCATTTGTTCACCTAAATAAGGCTTTTTGGTAACTTTGTTGTTCATGAATGAAAATTTACCACTTTACAGGTAATGCTATCCAGAATGCTGTTTGCCCGGGTACTTGTGATTTGCAACAGAATTGCTACTTCTAACGTGAATAACAGACTAAGCAACTGCATATCTGAGTGTGTAATTTTTTTTTAAGAATTTTCTTTATCCTGGTGTTCAGATAATGAAAATTTCCATTTGGCACACTTCTGTATTTGGAGTCTGTGGTGCTGCCTAAGGGCAAATGATCTGAATTTGAAAATGGCTAGAAGCCGAACCATAATTGTTCCAGCTGATGATGCGGCCCTGGCTGTTGCATACTCTCCTGCATAAGAATTAGGTCAAGTGAGCAAACAAATGATTTAACAAAATGAATATATTCACATTCAATCAAAGATAAAAAGCATCAGAATCCCCGTATTAAGTTGACTATATCAAAACCTTCAGCAAAAAAGTCAACCAAGTTTTTTATTATCACTTTTGCATGTGGAGGAATGCTTCTCTTTATCTCCATTTTCGTGGAAAACCAAATCGAGTATGACAAGACTTCAATTACATGGCAAAAATCAATTATGTGATAGAATTTGCGCAGATAAACACTGTATATATGTTGAAGCAAACATATTGTTAAGGGCAACATTTTAATTAGATTACAAAAATTAATCTCAAAGGAGGGACTCTCAATCAGGGCAAATTAATTGAATAATTTCAAGACAAGCAAAGTGTGTCACATGAGCTCAATCTCTAGTTGATGTAAAAATGATTTTGGTTAACATGGCCAGATTCCAGTTGTTCTAAGAGATTGCTAAGAATCATCGGGAATGATAATGTTGTCCAAGTGAATAGTACAGTATGACTGACAGAACTGAATATTAATTCCCCATGGTGCCCAAAGAAACAATCAATCGGTCAATTTGTTGATCAGATGGTGAGATTTTTGCTTCTTTTGTGTAAGTGCATCAGCTCAAGGTAAAGTAGTTACTTACCCTCAGGGTGAGCCATTTTCTGCATGGCTGTTGGGGCAATCATGATGGGCATTGAAATCTTGAAGCCCAAGACAGTGGTGGTCATGTCTATCTTGCTCACATCGATAAGAATGCGTGGTCGAAACCTGTATTTCATGAGCAATCCATTTCAGAAAACAGCCTGTAGTACACAACCAACGCATACACAAAAGGATAAGCAAGACCTTAACTCGGATTTAAGCATTTGGGAATATATATAAGAAGCTTACAGAATTCTTGAGAATGCATTTCTGTTCTCTGCCAGAGTCCACTGGTCTTCTGCACCTGATGCATAGTAGTCAAACACCATCTTTGGTAACTTCTGCTTGGCGATGGCCTCATACTCACTGACATTGGTTATCTCCATCCGGGTGGTTTATTCTTGATGCTTTCCCTCAGAAAATCTGGTTATGCCATGAGAAATAGGGAAATAAGATTACACTAATCTTATTCCACATGATATCTTAGAAAGTCGTGAAGATAAAAAAAAGGAAAAGAAAAGAAAAAAAGTTATCCTGAGTATTCATGCCATGTGGGATGAGCAAGATTTGAGAGAGATCGGAGGAGCTTGCCTCCTCGTTCCCTTTACCTATGACATGATGCTCATGGGCAGCTTATCTCGAATTGGATTTCATTTTCCAACTACTCAAAGAGTTCGCAAATTAAAATAAGCCAAACTACTTATGTATAAGATCTTATTGATTGGCTACAAAGATTAATTAGATCATGTGACGGGAAAATCATTAAATCAACTTATTCAACATTATTGACTGACTACGGAAATTGATATTCACTAAGAATCTAAGTATTGAGCCTGGAAGTGAAAACTCGACCATAGAACATAGCAGAGAGAAAAGCCCAGAATCTCAGTTGAATCCATAAACTACCAAAGCTATAATAATTACCACATTTAGCTAAGACTCACATGAGATTAGAGAAAAAAAGGAACATTTATTCTAACATGAACAAATTGAAACTGAGAGGAGAGGAAGAGTGGAGAGAGAAACAGACCTGGGCGCCGAGCCTATTAAGAAGAGTGCATGAAGTGAGAAACCAGAGCTGTAGTAGTAATAGATAAACCTGAAGATAAAAAAGAGAATGAGCCAAGCAGAAATAATGACAGCTTATGGGAATAGTATGATAAAAATAGAAGATGGGGGAAGAAGACAAACTGGGTGGGGGGTCATGGAGAGAGAGACACACACAAACTTGAGGATGAGTATTTGGAGGTGGGCATTTGTAACCACATCCGATCAGGGGTAACTGGGTGGCTCTCCGCCACATCCATCTTGTGTGTTTCATAGTTTTCCCTTCATTATCATCCCCCATTCAATTTTCCAAACAAATAAGGTTCAAGAAAATTATTGGATATTAGGCTATTTGCATATGTGTTGGTGAGTCTACCTTCTATGTCGCTATCCTTCACTCACTGTCTCTCTCCGTAGTAAAATTTCCATGTCCAAGCACGGATAATGAGGTACAAAAAAGAGAGGGCGGTGAGGGTCCTGAAAGTCCCTGTCTTCTGGAGAGCGAGATTATGAAGGTTACCATGGAAGTAACTTCATAATCAAAGTGTAAGTTGGTGTCGTTCTCCTCGGTTAAAAAAAAAAAAAAAAAACCTTCATAATTTAAGTACCCCCGACTCAGCCCCAAAACGGTGGTAAATCACATTAAAACTACTGATCAAAATTTGAGATCAAATTTAAAACTTAAATGATATAGCAGTTAATTGGTGTTATATTATTTAGGTCCTAATAAAAATTTTAAATAATCAACTGTCATGTCTTTTGGACTCTAAATTTGATCCCAAATTTTAATCAATGTAGCATTACTCTTAAAACTATTAGCCTAATTTCACGAGTAAATATTGGGCGTAACCTTATATCATTACAGTATCGTTGAAATGGTGTAATTATTCAATAAAAAGAAAAATTATTTTTTATCACAAAGTGTTTATGTATATGATCAGATAGTTATGAGTTTTAGGGAGTCCATTTATTTATTTATTTACTTATTAGTGGACCGTTATATCACGTGATAGCACCGTGGCGTAAAAAACCTCTAGATTTTTGAAAAACAAATAACCCTATGGATGGCCATTAACCCTTCGTTTGTCCTAAGATTACCACATCATTTTTTGAATTATTTATAAGCGATGACTCCAGATTGAGTGCTATCGATTCTTCCAAACTTAACTATACATTTGGGGCATGTTTGTTTGAGGTATAAGGGTGGTATAAAGAAAATAGTACGTGGAGTCTATCTTAAACCTTATTTGTTTGACATTTTTTACTAGGTACTAATTTTTGGATCATAATACCGACCTGGTGTGAACAGTAACACTAATGCCTTTTACACGGTGCTATTCAATACCACCTACTCGATGGTATAATATTCTTGGTATAAATGAATGGAGGTATAATAAACTAAAAAAATCGAAATGCCCTCAGGTACAATGCTCATATAAAAGTCTAGTTGTAATTTTTGATTTTTTAAGGTTAAAATTGTCTTTTTACATTGGTTAACCATAATTGTTAACTTTTTTAAATAGGTATTACACAAATAATATTTGTGACAAACAAACAAGGGAAAAAATAAGATTATAGTTTAAGACCGAATATAATATACTATTGAATCAGAGTGACATGGATATAAAATCTTATACCATCTAAATCTTATACTCGGAAGAAACAACCCCTTGATGCCGTCACATGATATGTCATCTAATAACAATTGTGACCAAATGGGCAGTTGGGCACCCAATGGGATTAAAACAGTTACATGAGAATTGAATATTACATAAAAAAAAAACTTTAAATCAAATGCTTCAAGCACTGCAAGATGGGTTCCACATGTAGTCTAATCCATGTATTATTATGCCACCAAATTTTGGTGAAAAGATTTGATGAACGTAGCACGAGACAATTTATTAAATCGTTTTTGGATATATTGGGTGAGTACAAAATTAACTTAGGAATTCGCATTTCATTACATGAGGAAGTACGTGGAGAGAATCATTGTTGAGCAGAAGAGGGGTTAATCGAATTCTTGATTTTTTTAAACGCAATCGGAGCCAATCAATTTTTTATTTTCAACCCAATCTACAACCGTGGCACCTTACATTAAAATGCCATCTATTCTAAAGTGATCGTGGTCACTAAAGTTGTTGGAATTTACTTCCGTGGCATAGGAGTATAGCATGGTACCATTCTAATTGAGAATGCTAGGTAGGGCTTACCTCGTAAAAACTTCAATTCAAATCGCGGCTTGCATCAAGCTATTTACCACTTAGATTTAGCTCATACTCTTTTATCAGAAAAAAGGAAAAATGAAAAAAATAAATTCGATTGAATAATCAATCTAGTCTAACTCGAAAATCTCTAGCTCATAACTTCAAAGGTAGTTCAAATGGTTAGAAAGATAAATTGTAAATTTAGATGTTTTAAGTTGAATTTTGACAACCTCTTAGAGTCAAGGCATAAAAAATTTATCTCTCATAAATATCCTAATCTCGACGTGTTAAGAAAGAGAGTAGTTGAGATACGTATAAGTTGACCTAAATATTTCTGACTATTTGCAAAAAAAAAAAAATCTCAAACTCGCAAGCAGAAGCTTGGCCCATGTGCCTGTCCATTTTTTATTTTTTAAGTTAGTGAGTTTTAAAAGATAATTCATAAATTATAAAAAAAAAAGAAGGTACAAATATAAAAATTGTATAATTTGTAAATTTTAACTTTAACATGAAAAATTACAAGTTTTGAGGAATATTTTTTTTTTTTAATCAATTAAATAAATAATGGATCTGACTAGGACCGTCCCAATAACTCGCTCGTTAATAACAATTCATGGGGCACAAGCTGGGCTATGGCATTGGACCTCCATAATGGAGGCCCCAACTCAGCTTCATCGCCTATAGTCTTAGACCCACAAACCGACCCGAGTTTTTTTCAATCTGGCCCGTGTTACACTCCAAACGCATGCATATACAAATGTGAAGTGATTTGTGTTTTTTTTTTGTTACTCTATGTGTTTAGTACTGTGTCGATTATTCTCTCGAGTTCAACGATTGATCGCCGTAACTTAAGTTGAGTAGGTTAGAGTAGACAAAGATGACTAACCATTAGAGACTGTGAAAAGGGATTAAACTTAATACAATAAGACCTCTAAATTATCCGGAATCATACTTAACCACTAACATAACGCTTAGAAGTAATGTTTAGGGGTGTTAATTGTATTGGGTTAAACGGTTACGTGTTGAATTAAATAGTTGACGGGTGAAAAATATATAAACTCATATACTACACGTTTAATAAACAAGTAAAAAACCTCAACATGAATGTAAACCATTTAATAAATAGGTAACACGGCACGACTCGTTTACCTTTAAACGAGTCGTGTTGGGTAGGGTTAGCTTAATACGATAAATCACTCGTTATACCCATTTGCCTGTTTGATTAAAAATATTACATAACTTTATAAAACTAACAATTTAACAATTTTAGATGGTTTATATATTTTATGTGGATGTCACTAAAAAAAAATTTGTTTTGACTAATTTTTTTAAATAATTGTTAATTTATGATTATAAACGGGTTGACATGTCTCACTCGAATATGACCTATTTATTAAACTCGTTTGATGAGTTAATCTGTTAAAATTTCATCTAAACTTGCTTAATTAGTATCAATTCGTGTCAATTAATATAATTATAAGGGGCCGAATTTTAAGAGACCTATACATTAATTTATTTAGATAATGGATCATTATCGTTGAATCGACGGTAGACTCTAGGAATTGGACCATGCCCCCTCTAACTCGCCCGGAGGAGAGAGATGGCGCCTAAGTTGGGGCGTTGCTGCCAATAAAAGCAAAGCAACTAAACCAGCAAAGTCAGACGAACGAAGCCCCCATTCACTCTAAGTTGGCTGTTGTGATTACTTTCCCATTTCAAATCAACGACTACGAAATACGAATACATACAATTACATGGCTGTGTCTCAGACCCTACATACAAATCTGTCCTTGAGAGGCCACGAGTCACCGATTTAGTAAGAAAGTGTGCGTGCCCAACAATGGCGGATCGGATGGGGAAACTGGTCAGAGATGAAGTCGTAACCTACTTCTACATTCTCCTCTACATCGCCCTCTCCAGCGGCCAGATCTTCTTCAACAAGGTCTCATCTTCTCTCTCTCTACTTTGTACATATAAATGTCGTCGTATTTGTGTAGATCGTGATAGGACATTATATCGAACACTTGGTGTGCCTCTAGCTTTGATCTTTCGAGTTATACTGCATTTTATGTCATAAATGTTATGTTCTATGAATACCCCGCTTCGTTTGCCGTGGTACCGCAGGGCAACGATTAGGATGCTGAGAAAATTTAGTGTAAAATATTGAATCCTTTTTAGATTTTTTTGGAGATGTTTAGCTTGATAACCGATGTTTGTGCCCGAGGAGTATAGTTTGAGAGGTGCCTCATTCAATTGGAGTGCACAATCTGGAATATTTGTAATCTAATACTTGTTATGGAGGTTGTATTGTTGGTTTGGAACGGGTGATATGATGGAGATCTATTAAAGCACTTACTGAAACTGGAAACTAATTCTTCAAAAACCAAAAGGAAAAAAAATCCTATTCTCACTTACTATCACTTGTTAACTATTCAGAGTAATACAACGAGTTGGAAAATATCTTTTTGCGTCAACCAGGAAGGTTCATATACCTAATTGATGATGGATTGGAGGTAGGGGAAGGTGCTTTAGGCATTGTAATTCATTGGTATGTGCACTTGCTATATGCAGATTGGAAGCAGAGCTGGGCTTTAATTATTCCGTCCTTTACTTAGAAATCTTGTTGAAGGTAAAATTTGGGGGAACCCAAGAATTTTTAACTTGATTTTGGTAGTTAAGTATTTGTGTTAAAGGATAATATAGTAGACATATTCTCAAAGTGCTTTCTGAAACCCTACTCATTATTTCTCCTTTGACCAGAGAAAACCTCCACAGCCTGCACCTCTTTCCCGTGTAAAGAGCAACAGATGCGAAACTTTCTGTCTAAGGTTGCAGGGATCCTATCTTCACAGTAATCTGTGTTGGATTTTGTAATTTACAATTTTGAGACCATTATCCAATGGTCATGCACAATGTGAGCCAAAATGCTTCAGTACAAAATTACCTCACATTGCTAATATAATTTTCTTTTCAAAAACTTGTGAAATGCAGTGGATATTGTCATCAAAGGAAATAAACTTCCCATATCCTCTTGGATTGACTCTACTTCACATGGTCTTCTCCTCTGTGTTATGTTTTATACTCACCAAAGTTCTAAAGGTATTTATTGACTAAAGTTACGACAGGCACTGTCATCTTAATATTCTTTTATCTTTGGTTGTGCACCATGTAAATAAATTTGTATTTCCTCACAGATTATGAAAGTTGAGGAAGGGATGACTGCAGAAATGTGAGTACTGAACGAGACATTTGCCTCATATCTGATATTTCAAATTTTTCCTTGTTAAGGGCTTCTTTATCACCTGTTTCGTTAAACATATAAGCTTCGTATTGGTTTTTCTTGGATGCACTGATGCACATTATTTTGAAATTCACAAAAGTAACCCATTTAAGTTTTGAACATACAGATATGCTACATCAGTCATCCCAATTGGTGCAATGTTTGCAATGACTCTTTGGCTTGGAAACACCGCTTACCTCTATATATCTGTTGCATTTGCACAAATGTTGAAAGCTATAAGTAAGTTTCTTTATTCTTTTAATATATGCTTATTTGCTTAGCTACATAGTCTAGAGGAATAATTTGGCCTTCACACAGATGCATGCAAATGTTTTCAGTCTGTATGTTCAAACGGATAAACCTAAGTCATAGAAGTCTTGAAGACTGAAGTGATATTTTTTCACTCTTAATTGCTATCTGAGTTTGACAGAAAGAGTTTTGGTTGGTCAACAACTGACTCCAGTAGTCATATAACCATTGTCCTCGCAACAGTTGGTAATAATGGCTCTATTTTTGTTATACATCTGCAGTGCCAGTAGCTGTTTTCATTCTTGGAGTAGCAGCTGGACTTGAAGTGATGAACTGCAGAATGCTTCTCATAATGTCAGTGATCAGTTTGGGTGTTCTAGTGGCTTCTTATGGGGAAATAAGTATCAACTGGATTGGTGTGGTTTACCAAATGGGAGGTGTTGTTGGAGAAGCTTTGAGGCTTATATTCATGGAGATTTTTGTTAAAAGGAAGGGTCTTAAACTAAACCCAATATCTCTCATGTACTATGTTAGCCCCTGCAGGCATGTATTTGAGTCTCTGATGCTAGATGCCCATCATCAGTTTTTGCATCATTCTACATTTATATACACAAAATATATGCCCATTTGAACAAAATCTTGGTTTGCTATGCAGCGCTGTTTGTCTTTTCATTCCGTGGATTTTCTTGGAGAAGCCAAAGATGGATGCACAGGGGTCATGGAATTTCCAACCTCTAATTTTAACGCTCAACTGTCTCTGTACTTTCGCACTTAATCTTTCAGTTTTCCTTGTAATTTCACACACAAGTGCCCTGACCATTCGTGTGGCTGGAGTTGTCAAAGATTGGGTGGTTGTCTTATTATCAGCCCTTCTGTTTGCGGATACAAAGCTGACAATCATAAATCTTTTTGGTTATGCTATCGGTAAACAGTTCTAATCCAAGTATCTTTTGTAGCTTGTACATCGTTTACTATGGTTAATTTATTTGATATCTGGCATATTTCTTTTTATTGGTGCTCACTGATTTAATTGATATGGGCATTGTATATGCTGAGCTTGTCCAATCTTTCTTCTACATTGTCCACATATTGTGCTTGTCCCTGAGAGAATAATTATATTACAAAAGCTACTGTTGTTTAGCTGGTTGTCTTGTATTTTGTCAATCAAAGTTTTGTACCATTTTCTTGGATTTTTTTGGCCCCCTGGTATTAGTTGTGGCCACATTAGGATGACACTGCTGCTAGAGCATGGTAAATACTCCTATTTTTCACACTCCTCCATGGGACAAAGTTGATATTTTACCCTTAGTTTTTTGGTTCCTTCTTCGTGCCTCTTCTGAGTATTCTGTCCTTTATTTTCTTTACTTTTTTTATTTTTCAATGGAAATTGGTGTTTATTCACCACCATCTCAGATGCTGATCGAAATTATGTTCCTGATGAGAATCCGGTGCCAGGGTTGCGACCATGTTCTGCCCACTAGAATGCTTCATACTTGAACACCTAATTTTTCTTGATTCTCACAAATGATTTTGTAATTCTGGTTCTCATATTTTTTGGCTTCTATTAACACAGTGCATGGCAAAAGATATAAAGAATTATGTAGTGATTTATGAAAATAAGAATGCACAGTAGTAAATGTTGTGGTTTTATATGCAGCCATTGCTGGTGTGGCTGCCTATAATAACCACAAGTTGAAAAAGGAAGCATCTCGAAGCAGCGCTGATGAGTCTCAGCATGAGCAATCTATACCGTTAGCTTCATCTTCAAATTCTGACCAGTAGATGTATATAAAGAGTGGCCTCACATGGTATTTAGAGGTATGCAACCTTACATATTGTTGGGCAAGTTTTTTAGAATGTCAGGTTGATATAGTACTGTCTTCAAAACGAGGCGTTGTAGCAGAGTAATGGCACGTGATTTCCTTAAAAGAATCATTCTACAGGCAGAATTTTGTTTTCATATTGCATAAGTGTTGAATGATCCATTGTTCCTTCCATCGATTATAACAGCTGCTTCTACACATGGAGGTTGTGGCAGCATGGGGGCATAGAAAACCAAGGTACTTTTAAGTGATCTGTAAAGTTGAGAATCTGTCATCCGTTTCCTGCATGAAAGGTTGGGCATTTATGTAAAGCTGTTCGCCATTGAGGTACTCTTCGTTTCTTACCCCTTTTATGTAACGCAAATTGCTGGGATCAAGTCAAAGGCAAAACTCAAAAATTCTTACTCTTCGAGTAACCCAAAATCCTTATACTTATTTTAATATATTCTTGCATTCATGGTGAAGCATCAAAGTTTGTAATTCTTTGAATTGTGGAAGTGGGATCAACAATGGGTATCCTTTTCTCTTCTTTTTTTCTCTCTTTTCGGTTGAAAAAGAGATATAGAACGACGATTGGCAGCTTCATCCATATGTTACTGTACCATTTTTGTTTACTAAACTGGATTCAGAATAGGGAGGCATGCTAAGTCGCATAAATGTGTCCATTGCAAGATTTTCCCGTTTGATGTGCATGAAATCACAAGATTGCTTTTGCAGATACCGACTCACCTTCGAGTTTGTGTGAGTTTGCTATTTATAATTTATCTATCAGATGCCTTTTTTGCGTATAGATAAAGTATTTCATCATCTTTGAATTTTCATCAGTAATACGTGAAATGATTGATTGACGAAGGTAACGATGCAGGCAGACGAGGATGCTCTTGGGTTGAAACCCATTGCTCAAGAGATAACTTAAGAACTCATGGTTTGATATAATAAAGGAATGCTCCTCTAATGGTTGGTTACTCATTCAAAATGATGATATTAAGGGGTTGGAGTTTCTAGTCCACGAGGGAGTCGACTTTCCCTTTTAGCTTATTGGCTCAAGAAAGTTTAAATTTCTTAACAACATTGAGGGTAGGATTAGGGATTCCAATGTTTTTTCAATTGCACACAAAACCACCTCATCTTTTGCTGTTTTGGGGGGAAATGACTTACCGATTGAGATCATGAACCCCTCTAATAGGAGGAGAGGTCACTAAAATAAGAAACATAGCTTGGGTAGGAAGATATTAGAGGTTTCTTATTTCGGGAACAAGAGCTCTTAACGTTCATGTCACAATAAAATAATTTTATTGTTTCAAGTTCAAATATGATTTTTGCAAGAAAATTTTGATTTATTCAATTGACATAAAGTTTGGGTTAATTCACGAGTTCAAATGATACATGTACAAACATAAGCCCAAAATCAATCCTAATGATAATAAACTTAGAATTGAACTCTACTTGATTTTATAACTACCTTATTCATGTAAAAAAAATAATTATCAAAAATAAATAGTGAAGTTTATCTTTTCGCATTGTAAAATTAGTATTGACTAGTGTTAGGAGACTGGGGCTGTTGATCTAAGACTCAACATAAATAAAGTTTGGAATCCATGCCCACCTAAAAACTTAAGTCCATAGGTGATGAAGACATTTAACTTTTTTTTTTTATATGATGTGGGGTTTTTGTACATTAAATATCCAACGATTTCTCCCTAATATGTGGACCACATTGGATATTTGCTTCCTTTTGAGTGAAGAACCAATCTTTTACTATTCTGTATGAGTTATCGCACTATCACTTTGTCAGGAACCCTTGCGTCTAGGCCCGCGTCTTGCTATTTTTCTCGAGTTACATTTTCACGACTTTCATCTTTTTTGGTAGTTCACCCAAAATCATCAACTATCGGCTCTCATATTAGTGTATATTGAGTCTTAAATCAATGGACTATGATACCTATTGTTGGGTATTGTATGTTTGAGAATCTAACATCAAATAAAAAAATAAGTTAAAGTGTTTTCATATACTGTTGATGGGCTCACGGTCTCCCAACAAAATGGTATTAGAGTTAATGATTGACGATCTTGAATGAACACTGGAAGAAGCAGTGTAGTGCATCGGTATCAATGATAACTCTTAAGCAAAGTGACATGCTCTTGACATTGAAATCATGAAAGTATAATTCGAGAAAGGGAAAGAAAAGAAAATAAAACAAGAAAGTAGGGTAGAGGCTCTTAGCGAAGTTGTAATGTGATGACTTATAAAGGGTAGTGAAAAACAGTGGCAGAGGGAGGTAAGGGGCAGTCCCGCCCTATTTTTTTTTTTTTAATCTATATATGTTTTATATATATTTTTAAATAATTTCAATTGGTTTCCTTAATGAATTAGATAAAATAAAATTAATTGAATACAGGGTACTAAAATAAAAAGTTAAAAAAAAAAGGTCCAAACAATAATAAATCTATGATATTCATTATAGAGAAATATCTGTATGAAAGGACTTGTTCGGGGGTTGGTGGGGAGACTTGGCGACATGCCTTTGCTTCCAACACTCTCTCTTCCCCAATTTTCCATTGTAATAAACACAAATCTAAATCCACAGTAAATCTATCCAACACAAAACCCCTTCTCTCTCTCTCCCCCTTACCCCCCCCCCCCCCCGGCCACTCCCACCTTCCGGTTTAACCCACCACCTCTTTCCCTCTTCTCAGAAATTTTAAGAATCACAGATTCAAACACAGAAGTTTCAAGTACAGATTCATACGGAGAGAGACAAAGGAGGATGCGATCCTCGTGTTTGAGGGGATTGACATCCGAATCACCCAATGGTGTTCGATCTTCATCGACGGAAGGTCGTTAATGGCCTTGCAAATGACTTGGCAGCCGAGTCTTTTGAATCTCAAACGCCGTTCCGGTCCTCCTTTAGGCCTCAGAAACCTCGGCAACTCCTGCTATCTCAACTCCGTCCTCCAGTGCCTCACTTACACCCCTCCTCTCGCCCAATTTTGCCTCAAATCCCAACACTCCTCCAATTGTAACCAATTCTCTCTCTCTCTCTCTCTCTCTCTCTCTCTCCCTATACATTCGTACATACTCATGTATGTGTGCCCTAATTTTTGGTATAATGTTGCAGGCGATTTGGCTACGGAGAAAAAGAGCGAGTGTCCGTTTTGTATACTAGAGAAACGAATTGTACGGTCTTTGAGTATCGATTCAGCCCTAGACACGCCTATGAAGATTAATAATTGTTTGAGAATCTTCGCGGAGCATTTCAGGTGTGGGAGACAAGAGGACGCGCACGAGTTTTTGAGGTATGTGATCGACGCGTGCCACAACGTATGTCTGAGGTTGAAGAAGTTGCAGCAGATGCAGCTGCAGAGGAAGAAGGGTGGTGGACATGGAGGTGGTGGGGGTAATACGGTGGTTAAGGAGATATTTGGGGGTGCTTTGCAGAGTCAGGTGAAGTGTTTGTCTTGTGGAGTGGAGTCGAATAAGGTGGATGAGATTATGGATATTAGTCTTGATGTGTTGCATAGTGGTTCGCTTAAAGAGGCTTTGAACAAGTACTTTCAACCTGAGGTTTTGGATGGCAACAACAAATACAAGTGTGATAAGTAAGTATTTCAATCTTGTACCTCTCCAGTTCAAAAAAAAAAAAAATCTTGTATCTCTCTCTAATTCTTTTGTGTATATTCTACTATGGCTTGAGCTTGACCCTTAAGTTTGTTTAGTTGTAAGAAATTGGTGGCAGCAAGGAAGCAAATGTCCATACTTCAAGCACCTAATGTTCTTGTGATCCAACTCAAGGTACATTGGAATTTTAGCAACATTCATCGCTTTAAGTTGCTATGGGGATTGTATCTCATATGTTTGCTGTTCTGTTGGTTGCATAGAGATTTGAGGGCATATTTGGTGGAAAGATTGACAAAGGCATTACTTTTGAGGAAGTGTTGGTGCTTTCAAGCTACATGTGCAAAGCAAGCCAGGTGCGTGCCTAGAGATTTGCATTTGATGGAATTACAATTACTGGTATGGTCTTAAGTTTTACTCATTGTGGTGCATGGTTTATTTGATACTCAGGAAAAAAAGAAAAGAAAACATGGCATAGATTAATTTATAATCTTTGGAGAGGGGAGGGAGAGTGGGGTAGTCTGATATGTTTGAGGATACATAGCAGTTACAGGTTATGATTTTTTATTTGCAATTGTATTATGTAAATGTTTCATAATTGCACGAGTTATTGCTCATCCTTATTGAATTTAGAGATACAAATCATATTGTTTAGCAGGGCAATGGTTCATAGCACGAATTCTAAAAGTTCAGATTTTGAAACTCATTAGACCTACAAAAGACATTGTTGGGGACTTGCCCACCCATGACAGTGTTTTAGAGCGTAGTTGTAGTTATAAGCTTTCTAATGACTAGTTGTTGCACATGTATGTTGCATATGGACTGTTGAATGTGAAATATTGTATATAATTACTATAAAGATAATGACCATCTTACTATTCATATATTTATGTGCTTAAATATATAAAAGATTGTAACCTTAGTATTCAATATTGCAAAAAAAAAATATAAAATTCTAAAATATGATAATTATTCACACAATGTTCGTGTTACATTTCTAAAAAAATTAGAAGGCATTATGTTCTCAACTCAACAAAGGCTAGTCTCTACTCATTTGGGCTCGATCACATGAATCATCTTTTGTCGTTGTGATCTATAAGGAACTTCATGTTAATTCTGCAAACCTACAACTATTATTACCACTCCGAAAAGCTGTAGTGTCGTCATTCTTATTATTTCTCTAGCTTGGTTGCGAGTGCAACATGGCATACTATGTACCAGAAAATTATTGGGACTATATTCCGTTCCTCCAAGCAAAATCGATTAATAGACACTAAACGGGTCAATGACTTGAAAAAACATTCTTATCATTTCTCTAGCTAGGTTGCTAGTGCAACATGACATACTATGCATCAGAAACTTAGTGGGACTATATTCCGTTCCTCCAAGCAAAATCAATTAATAGATACTAAACGGGTCAATGACTTGAAAAAACAATCCATTTAGCAAAGAATGAAATTCCTTAGTTGGAAGCGAAAGGAAAAACCAAGTAAGCTTTTACCTGGCGTAATAGGTTTTTTTTTTTGAACAGTTCCTGGTGTAGTGGTGGATATGTTAATATTGTGAAGAAAATATAGAATAACAATTGTAATTTTTGTGTCCTGATATAAAATAGTTGGAAGATGATGTAAGACTAAGTGTAGGTTTGATTATCCCTATTGAATATTTGAAGAAGACCACAGGAAGTAGATAGAGATAAACACTTCAGAAGTAGAAAGTGCAAAAAAGCAAGAACCAATGCAGACGTTGTTGAGCAAGCCATTTGAGTTCTCGTGGCACCCCTATCTTTTTCTTACCTTGTGTAATGTTACTTGTAAGCCTCTCACCTCAATTAAGCAACAGTCTTAGTAGCAAATTAAATAGGTGAGGAAACAATGATTATAAAAAAGATGTATTTATCATGACATTATGACTCGACTGTCTACAACTCTCTAAAAATTATTTGTATTAAAATCCAACACAAAGTTGAAGGTTGATTTTGTGCAAAAGCAACATGAGGGTTATTATTAAAATTTTTAGGGTGAAAACAATTAAATAGAGATACAATTGTTCCCATATGACACGAAATAGGAGTAAAGAGCATGGCAAAATTGGTCACTGCTAACTATAATGGTTTTGTTTACCTAATAGCAAAGATCATTAAAATAATGAAAACACTGAATGATCAAGATTGTTTGATACAAAGAAAGTCGGTATCGAGAAACCAAAACAAAGTTACTTAATACTTTGATTTAAAATGACACAAAGCTCGCATGAAAGAAAGTAGGCCTACCATTAATAGTGACAAAATACAACATCTGAAGGAAATCTATAGGGGACCTAAAGGGACAAATGGATAATTGTGAGAGAATAAATGTGTTTGATATCTAAAGAACACAGACAAAACCTCGTAATGACCCTTTTAAGATTCTCTATCACTTTCTATTTGCTGGAAATTTTTTCTACCAATATTGAGTTAAATAATACAAAATTATATCAATCCAAAATGACAAATGGACTGATTAGGTATAACCAAACTACACATAATATTTAAAAAAGGCAGAAAAAGCTCACATATATGCATTCCCTATTAAAGCTGGAAAAGTTGCTATGCTTGAAGCAAATCAGTCGAATACCAAGCATAATCGGCAATGATAAAGTTGTCATTGTCATTGATTTTACTCCAATAACTGAACATGTCCGTTGACCGATAATGCACCATCTCATAGCACTTCAATAGAAAAGGCGGTGTTGGAAACCAATTTTCTTTGAATTTCACCACTATTAAGCCGCTTAATAAAAAAAATCCAATAATAAAAACAATGACAAGAGGATACATATGAAGAAGCAAACCTGCGAAAGAAGAAGAAAGAGCATTTCCTATACTTAATGGGTCTACTGTTATATTTGACGTATAGGTAAATTTAGTATATAGTGTACATTTATAGGCAAGATGTATTCAATAAGGAAATAAACATTTATTTATGATGGACAAAATTGAGGTTATAGAATTAGTTAGGGTTATAATAGGAAAATAAAATTTTTTACAGCGTAGTGTACTTTTATAAGTAGTATAGATTATAGTTTCTACAAATTGATGTGGCTTAAAAATTTACTCTTGTGGTGGGCCTTTGCCTTTTTTACGAGGATTGGAGAGGAATTCTAGAATCACTTGGTAGGTTCAGACGTTCTGCATGATGTTGAAGCCCAGAGGTCTGGTATTAGAAGATTCAGGCATTGTAGCTTGGGAGTACTAAGTGAGTATCTGTGGGGGATACACTATAAAAATAGGTTCTATGTGGAGGAGGGGAAGTTCTTAGGACAATAGAGGTGGATAAACCCAGAGAGCAATAAAATGTTGCTATATGGTCAGACTATAAAAGGTTATCAGAAAGGGGTGTAATTTGCCTAGTTTTTCAGTTTTGCTATGGTAGATGGTGTGATCTAAGCATGCAGCTTGATGCTTTGTGTGGGGATGTCCGGTCAAAGAAGACTTCCCATGCCTCATTATTAATACTTCCTTTAATCAACTCTTGAATTGAATTAGTCTTGTTCAATCTTAGTTTTATGTTAATTTTGGTTCTAATATTGTATTGTTTATGTTTTTTTTAATTATCTGAGTTGTCAATGACGTTTTGGTGGTTGTGATTTTGTTTGTGGACTTTCTTATGTGTTTTTAGGTTAATATTATCGAAGCTGTGCAAGTTATTTCCTCTTTTTTTGTTTTTCTTCTTTTTTGGAGATGCTACTGATGCTATATAATTTGCTAAATATTGTAGAAAAACTTATGGACCGTCCTTCATTCTTGTTGGAATATGGAAAATGTACGTTGAATACTGCAGGACAGGTTTTGGAACCTCCCTTTGTGTTAGAATATGACAGTGTCTTTTCGTTTTTCGAGGTTATAGACATGTGCCTCAAAGTATGGGTGGTATATAATACTATATTTCCTTACATTAACGTGGCAAAATTTTTTTATAGGTCACATAGTGGGATAGGATTTTTTTACCCTCTTGTTTGTCTATTGATCTACTTGAAATCTTTATCTTGGTATTAGGTTTTTTTTTTTTTTTTTAATTTCAATGCACTGTGATATTATTATTTTTCAAGAAGTTGTAGTATGGATTGCATGTTTTCTTGTCTATCTTTGCAATAAATGAAAGAAGAACTTCTCATGTGATAGTTTAATTTAAATTTAGTCTAAATCTCTGTGCTTTCTTGTGGAGAAGCTTTGTGGGTGCCCCTACTATGTTTTACATATGATAACGGAATCATTTTGGTTTTATTTTTGAATGTAATGCAGGATCCAAATCCAGGGTATAAACTTTTTGGTACCATTGTGCATTCAGGCTTCTCGCCAGATTCTGGACATTATTATGCATATATTAAGGTGTTGTTTTTGACACATCCTGCTATTTGTGGTATTGGTTATTTTTTATGTTCAGCCGGACAGAGCATCTCATTATTGGTTGCTGCTTCAATTTGTCTGTGTGGACAGGATGCAATGGGGCGTTGGTATTGCTGCAATGATTCTTGTGTTTCACTTTCAACCCTGCAGAAGGTTTTGTCAGAGAAGGTTTACATCCTTTTCTTTTCTCGTACTAAACAGAGGCCAGTATCTGCCAACACAGCTTTGACCTCCAATGGAGTGAGGGCTCATGATTGCAACGGTTACGATACATCCAAAAACTCAAGGGTTGGTCACCCAGAAAAAATAGTGCATAGGAAACAGGTTGTTGAGTATCCTTCTAACAAGGATAATTCAACCACTTGTAAGGTCGAACAAGTGCCTAGTAGTCCACAAATGAAATTGAATGGCTTTGGAAATTCTAATACCAAAATATTACCTGCAAATGTTAATGGAGAAGATATTGGCCATAAACAGGAACCTAATGACAAGAATGGCAATGTGAAAGCCAATGGAGTGAAGTTTCCTGATTGCAATCATCATGATTCATCCAAAGACCCAGTGGCTGCTCATCCCATTAAATTAATGGACACGAAACAGATTGTTGAGTGTCCTTCTAAAAAGGATAATTCAATCAATTCTAAGGTCGAAAATGTTCCAAGTAGTCCACAAAGGAAGATGAATGGCATGGGAAACTCTAATACCAAAATATTACCTGCTACTGCCAACGGGAAAATTATTGTTCATAAACGAGAATCCAAGGACAAGAATAGCATTGTTAAAGCTGCAGTTAGGACAGAGAAAAGTGGGAATTCTGTGGCAGTAATAGGCAGTAATGGTATTACCAAAAGTACATCAGTTGACAGTCACAAGAGCCAAGCATTTCCCTTAGCGAATGGAAATGGTAACATCCAGAGGATCAGTGATCGTTCCTTAGACGCGGATCAATTGGAGGGAGCTACGAGAACCCTGGTTCCAATGGGAAGAGAAACCAGCTACCAGGAATTGCAAAATGGTAATGGCACATGTCCCTCCAACATCACAAGCTCCAAGAGAAAATTACATGAGAAAGACATGTGCATTTTGTTTTCTAAAGATGAACAATCTCAGGCAAAGCTAGAAGAATTAAAAGAAGGGTATGTTACTCCTTATTTCTAATGCCTGTAAAGTTTTCCATACAATAAGTTGGTCTGATCTAGTTAAGGGCTGCATGAACATTGTGTTTTTAAAGTGTTTGAATTTAGCTTTGATAACATATATTCCCAAGACATTGACGTGCTGATTGTTATTATAATTCTGCATTTCATCAATATTGTTCTGTCATAGTAGTTTTGTCATTTGATGGTCAAAAGTTCTGTTAAAAAAAAAAAATGGTCAAAATTAGTTTATTCATTTGAAGGTCACTAAGTAACCTCTTGGGAAACCCATTGACCTTTTCCTGAAGGTTAGGCAGTCGATATGCAGTGAGGCTTTGAAATGCAGGTGTTGATTTTGTTCCAACTTCCAAGTACGCATGCCATTGTTACTTAGCAGTGCACCTTTTCTGCATGCTCAGACAGCATAAGCCATAATCTTTACATGAGTATTCTTTTCGTTTTAAAGTGAGTAGCACCTTCTTTTAGATGTTTAAGGTAAACAAATTTTCTGTGTTTGACGAGATGTATAACACTTCCTTATCCTTGTTTCTTCTTTAGATTTTCATTTGTTCATGCTTGACCATGTATTTTAACCTTTTTCCCTCTCATCTTCCCCTTTTGGTGTTTCATTCCTTCTTTGTTTTTGCTATAAAATCTTGCAGTACGATCATCATGTAGACTGTTAACTTTGTTTTATTGCTTGAATTTTTTTTTTTGCTCTTAAAATGTGAGACCTATTGTAAAGAATTTTTTCCAATGTTTCCTATTTCTCTTTGTTTCTACTTTAAATAGATGGTTGGAAAATGAAATGTGATCTTCATGCTTGAAGGGTCATGCCCTGCACCCTCTTTTACCCTTTTTAGCAACGATGAGACAGAGCATGAGTTTGTGACGCTTAATTCAAGTTGCGTTTGGTAACCGCAAGTTTCTGTTTTTTTTTTTGTTTTTGTTTTCAATTTTTGGGACATATGAAAATAAAAATGTTTGGTAAATGTTTTCGTTTTTTTTTTGCTGATCCGTTTTGAAAACAACACTAGTTCTTAAAAACATCCAAAAAAAAAAAAACAGGCGGAAGATAGAGAGTCTCATTTAATGAGGTATAGACTTTAAACCTCATTAACAACAAAAAAACCTTTCTTTTTCCCTCACTATATAAAAAGCCAGAAACTCTCCTCCATCTTCTCAAATTCCAACCGATGTCTCTGCCCAACCGAAGGCTTTGCCTCTTTGTCAAAGAGCTCCGGCAGGCTGTCTAATTTCTGGGGTGGGGGATGGTTGGTTTCACGGTGGATTTTTGGGGGTGGGGGGTTTTAGGGTGGGTTTTCGGGGTTTGGGGGTGGGGGCTTCTGGGAGTTTGAGGGTGAGTTTTTTTTTGGGGGTTTCACGGAGTTTGAGGGTGGGTGTTTGGGGGTGGGCTTCTGGGGTGGTGTGTGGTGGATTTTGGGGGTTTGGTGGTGGTGGGTGGTGGATTTTGGGGGTTTGGGAGTGGTGGGTGGTGGATTTCGGGGGTGGGGGTTTCAGGGTGGGTTTTCGGGGTGGGGGTGGTGGATTTTAGTGGTTAGACGTGGGGTTGGGTGGTTGTTAGTGGTGGGATTAGGTGGTGGATTTTTGGTATAATACCAAATATGTTTTTTTTTTTTGTTTTCACAATTTTTTAAATATAAATAATTACCAAATATGTTTCATATTTTTAATTTTTATCATAGAAAAAATAAAAATTTGTTTTGTTTTTTTAAAAAAAAAATATAAAAACAAAAACGTTACCGAACGTACCCTCAGTAATTAACGAAGGCATTATTACCTTCTTGAATGATCTATGTATTTAAATCATATGTCTGGCGTATTTATCTCTGATTGTAAATTGTGCCTTGTTATTCACAAAAATGGCACAAAAATATTATTTCCTCAATCACTGTAACTCAAATTTTCTCTGCATATCTCAGTCTCAGGAAAGAAGCGTCTTTAGTTCTGCAATCATGTGGTTGGTCAGATGAAGTTCAAAGTTTCATGAGTTCCAGGAAGAAGTTGTGTGCGAGCAGAGCAGTCAACAGTGCATCAAATAGCAGTGAATTAAAGTGCGTTCTCTTTAATTACAACAATTTTACATAGCTGTTATATTATACAATGTGATTGTGTATGAGGTTCAAATGTGTTCCTCAAAACAGGTTTTTGTGGGTGAAGCTTTAATCAGTTTAACCATTTTACCATGATGAGGGCATTTCAAGTTTTCATCATCCAGCAGTGACAAATAACATTAAGTGTTGACTGTTATGATTTTGATTAAAATTTATTGGGACTCATACAAATTAACTGAAACTCATTAAATCCCATTCGAATTGCAAATAGGCATTAGTTGGCGTGATTGGTATATTGTTTTTTTGTGTTTTTCTCGGTAGTTGATGTTATCCAAAACTTTGCTTTGAAGTCTGAGTGTTGAAACCGTAGATACTGGGATTGTGGAATCAGAGTTGCTCGACCCGAAACAGGGTGGGTTTGCGATCAAATTGCTTAAATTCCGGACTCCAAATTGTAACTCAAACCCCAAAATAAATACTAGTTAATTATGTGTATATGAAGATATAATTAGATATAATTTCATATAATAGAGAAAGTCATCCTATAAAAAATGAACCACAACCCAAAATAGCATACCAATTAAGCCTATCCTCATCGTACAATGTATCAGGAGATGTACTGTACCAAATTGACCCACAATCCAGGTAATAGTGGTTCAAAAGAAAGATTTGATGAATTTGTTATGGTTGAGTAACATTGATATGTCTGAGATCAAGTTGTTTATCATATTTAAACTCCCTGTATTTATTTTATCTTCTTAATTTTTCAGTGGAACATTTGGATGTCACTTCAATTGATATATTGATCAGTTAATAGTGATGGATTTTCAATTTAGTTTTTGAAGACTAAAATAGAGCCCTATTCATTGTGCTGTGTCTAATAATGCCTTCAACTCTTCGTTGAGACGATTAATTTTTTACATCTCAATCTGTCCATAACTTACAGCGGTTGGCCGTATCTATAATTCAAGAATCGGAAAACATCCTTTATAATGTCTTCTTTTTCAGGGCATATTTAATGCCTTGGAATTGTTTTTGTTTTTTACCCAAGGATTTTAGCATATGATAATAAATCATTTGGCAAAGCTTGGGCAGCGTGAGAGTTGGGTTCATGAATGTTATACACACGAGCAAGAGGCTCTTGCATTCTGGGCTGCTGCGTTCGGAGTATTTGCAGAAAATTAGCTGCATTTGTAGTATTTGCAGCTTGAGAGTTGGGATCATGAGAGTTTGCAGTATTTGCCGAGAATTAGCTGCTGGAAATTCTGAACAGTAGTTCTGATTTGAAGTCCAAAAGGTAAATGTAATGGTTATGGCTAATTGGTCAGAGCTTGATAGGTAGAGTCTAGGAATCCTGCCTAGGTTCATTAGAAAGCCCCCAAGGTGAGGTTGTATCATAGTCATTCATTGAAGACAAAGAACTCATCCTGAAAAAATGTATTCATTCACCTAATATAAAGGGGGACTAAATAGGTAGAGTCTAGGAATCCTGCCTAGGTTCATTAGAAAGCCCCCAAGGTGAGGTTGTATCATAGACATTCATTGAAGACAAATAACTCATCCTGAAAAAATGTATTCATTCACCTAATATGAAGGGGGACTAAATAGGGACCAAGAGAAACTTGTCGGTAGGTAAAGGTGAATGCCAGGACTGCTAAACTCTGTACAAACTGAATTCTGTTTGAAATGACCCAATACTAAAGTTTTACCATTATAAGATCAACCCACTACAAATAGATAATTCGTAAAAGCTCGTGACTCCTGGAGCTAAAAAAATGGAAAAATAAAGTTAACTGTTAACTAGGCCTAAAACTGCAATAACATGGCTTAATTTTGGCCCAAAACTCGATTGGAAGAGGACTTGCGAGTGCTCCATGTGGAATGTTGGATTTCCCTTTCTCTCTGTATCATAGTTTTTTTTTTCTATGTAAGATGTTCAAAATTTGTGGTTCTTGATTCCAAGATTTTGCAAGTGCATGTGGGCTTCTTCTAGACATTTTGTTTTAATCTCTATCTTTGAATGCAATTCCATGTTGGTTAGTTTTAGTCAAGTCAAAAAAAATCCTGTTATACCATAACGTTTGGTCAATTCTGAAAGATTTTAAGGATGGAATGTTGCGCTGTGGTGCCTGAAGTTATATATATGAGGATGTTGATTGATATTGTAATCACAGTAGGAGCCAAAATGTGCACCGTAGGTTACAGTTCCGATTGGAAATTGGTTGGGATAGGGGTAGTTTTGGGGTGAACTTATAAACTGGACTTCAGGATATGACGGAAAGTGGATAAAGGATTATTTACCCGAGTCCTCTATGGCATATTCTTAAACGGGCATCTATGTAGACCTATTAAAAATCTGATGTCTTTTTTTTTTTTTTTTCCCTTGTTGTACTCCTCACTGTCCACTTAAGTTAATATTGATGCCAAAAGAGTTTATATACATGTTAGGTTTCCGTTATTGCTGACCTATCACTGGAGAACCTTGGATGTGTTCTCTTCCATCTGATTATCCTTTGTTTATTCTTTGTCTGATCTTTGGAGAACCTTGGAGGAGAACTTATCCTTTATTTCTTCTCTTGTCCATAAAATTGGATCGGTTGGTTTCGTATATTAATCCAATTGCCATTTAAAAGCGTAAATCCCTTCAGAACAAATTTGCTTCATCCCTAGTCATGTTGACCAATTTGTAGTCCAGTTGTGGGCCACTATATAAATTCTCTGAGGCCTAGTAGAAGCCCAGTAATTGGCTTCCTTGCTGTGAAACCTTATCAATGGACAGTTGTAAAAGTTAATGGCTGCCATCATGATGTGTACCCAAGGGTGGATGGATGGTCAGGAGCTCACTTTAAGTGCTAGTCATCCTTCTTGGGGCACCCCTAATGATCTGTCATGAATCATGATAATTTCTAGGTTTTTGTGCATAGTTCAAAGATGCGGTATCGACCATCGACTTGAAAGGCATTGAGATACATTGGTTGCGGTGTCGTTGAACGGTATCGGACGAGACAACCTAAAAGAAGAAGTTGAACATGACAAACTATTTATGTCACATTGCAATGTTGCAGAATGGTATCCACAGATTTGGTGATGATAACTTGGCAACTCGGAGATGACTCGGCCGAGTCATGTGAAACTTAGGATTTAAAGTAACGTAAAATGGTATCATTTCGGAAGGTGTTGAGCCAAATACGACTTAGCTGACTCGTCTTGGTATTTGGCCGATACTTTGAACCTTGTTCTTATGGGATAGGGGACTAGCGTGTGCCCTAGAAGATGGGTCAGATTTTCCAAAAGACCCATCTTGTTAGCAAAAATTTGCATAGTCGATTATATAAGGTTGTAAAAAAGAAAAAGCAGTGCTTAGGTGTAGAGCAGGGTTTGCCTGTGTAGGTCCATTGCAGCTGTATCAAGCTCTTGAAGCCTCAGACGCTAAGCCTGTGTGCTAGTTAGTGAAAGCATTCATCCATATTTTTCTTTTTAACTCTGAAGTTTCGTTCTCTAGCTTCTGGCGGTTGACATTTCAAATCTAAGAGATATTCACTTTTTGGAAAGAAAATGGTATTTAGGGTGTTGACGACACTAGTTTTACCTTTGGTTTTTATTACCTTTTTTTAGTCTCCCTAGTTCTAGATTTTTATTTTTAATTTGTTATTTTTGAGTACTACTGGTTATGACCATGAAGGAGTATTGCATACGAGCTCCAATCATATAGGCAAAAACCAATATAGTATGTTGTATTGGCCACTTGTTTCTTGCTTGGTGGCTTCTGGGAAGTATACCACCTATATGGGCGGGCTCTTAATCGCTCGAGTTGGTTAGATCATTGATCTCCACAGCTTGTATGGGCCCATGTTGACCATGTTGAACTGTGCAAAGCCAAGCTTTTGTCTTCAAGAACTTGCATGGCTTTCTGCTGTGCTGAAATGGATTTTGGCCAAAGCTGTCCATTTCTTATGTGGGCCCTCCAGTTTTGCTGTGATATTACATTTTGGAATTGTTTTCTTGGAGAATTCTCATTGTGTGGTTCTTCTGGTTTCTCTATGAAATGAAAAATTAGGTGCCATGATGTGTTCTGGGTAAACAGTAAAGCAAAATAATCCTAGTCTTCCAAGATAATGTTTTTGAGAAATGAAATAGATGTAACTATGTTAATAAAGGGCGTGCATAGTGCACAAGGTTCCTCCATGTGGTGATATTTGAGATAGGTAAATGGTCGGCAGTCTTCCCTCATTTTGGAGAGATTGATTCTTGGACTTGAACTCTTTGGGTGATAGAGCACTTGCCATTTTTCATTCATGTAAAAATATTATTAATTAGGTTTTGCATTTATGTTTACTAGAGTTTTTGGGTGAAAAAAGAGTCTGACAAGATGTGGAATCTCTACGGAATCAATAAAATACAAGCAGTTGGCCTGCTCATGCTTCCAGTCCTTCAGGCTGTTGTGGTAGCGCATGGTGATCAATATGTTAGCCAAGTGTATCACAGAATCAGATGTGACCTTGCTTTGATTATACTTCACAGTTCCTGCAGCCTCTTGCTTTCTTTACTACAGTTGTTTCATTTTTTGATCTATTTTTGGTTTTTTTACAAGCAAAAGAAAAAATGATATTTATTGTGCTTCCGATGGAAAACGTCTGTTTATATTTATTCTGTTTGTGCTATGCAGGAGCCTGTTAATTGCAGATGCCAAGCCAACTTTTATCCCACAAATTCCCGAGTCTTTGAAAGGAAAGCTAATCGAATGGATCAGATCATTTAGCCAAGAAAAACGTTGATTTGCTCTTTGAACAACAAAGCTTGGTATGCAGAAAAGAAATTGTTTTGTTAAATCAATATTTTTAATCAGAGAACCCAAAAAATCAGAATGTAACTGGTCATGTAGTGCTCTTTTGGTAGGTATTGTTAGATGTGTTATTATTATTTTTATGAATTTTTACAGGATTTCAACTTCTTTGCTGGAGACTGGTCTGCTATCTATAATACGGGAGGATGTTTAACTGATGGAGAAATTAGTTTGGTACCGTTATGCAAGTTCTGGGGATGAACTGAGATTGCTGTTGCATAATTAAATCGTTTGCCGGTGGTAATATTTCTACATTTGTAGGTGCCTCACCTGTCGAAATTGAGATCAATGTGCTGAGTTCAAGTCTTACGCTAGTTTCTTCTCCTTTGAGGCGGTACCGTTGATACTGACAAAGAAAAGGCAGAATTCTATTCATTTGTATGATATCCTTTTTGACAGTATCCTTAGGATACTATCCTAATTTTGTGGATGCAATACAATTTTTCCATTAAAATGTGGTCGGAATAGTACTTGTGAATCTATTCTACTGAGTTTTTTCAGTTAGATATGTTGTATTTTGAGCGACATCTTAGAGCAGTACTCTTCCCCTTCCTTTACTCTCTTTCTCCTTACCTTTATGTTGGAATTTATAGTGCAGTTGAGAATATGGGATTGCATGAGGAACTCATACACATGTTTGCATGTGAGAGTATGCATAAAAATGACAGATTTACGTACTACATTGCAGAGTGTATGCCTTGGTACAAACATAGACTTTAAATTTTGTATTTATACTTTTACTTGTGGTTTTTTCCTTTGTTCTGTATTCGTGTTTCATTGCTCTAGCTTTGCTGCTTACTCGAAATTTTGAAGATCGCGGGGTGACAACCCGGCAGATTGTACATGGTATCTGACTGGTGTACGTGTTGAACTTTCTTTGTCGGTTTTTATTTTGCATCCCAAAAGATTATTTTTTTATACATTACACTTTGAATGTCTTAAATTATTTTTAATGTGGTCCTTGGATTAACATTTATCTTATATTCCGCTTAATGTGGTCCTTGGTTTTTATTTTTAATGTGGTCACCCAAGTATGTGAATGGTGAGTTTATATTTTTCTCTGAGAGCAACACACGTGGATGACATGTGCCTCAATTTTTAATTGAATCTAAAATGGATGTTAGTTCGAGGGTTATATTTAAACCAATTTATGATATTCAAGATGTAAGAAGAGAAAAATAATCTTTCAAAGTGCAATCGAGACATCTGTGGTGTGCGTTCTGATTGAATAGGGTAATTTTATCCCGTTAGAAAACTAATCAGAGGGAGAATTGTTGCGGTGTCTTTGGTAGAAGTAGAAGTTTAAGAGTTTTGGGGATGATAGGGCGAGAAGTTTGAAATATCTCCCAGACGTTTGAAGTGACTCTTGGGGATGATAGGAAGAAGTTTGAAATATCTTCCAGACGCTTATGTCGCTTACTTTTTTTTTTTTAATGTTCTTTAAAAGTTTATTTTTGCCTTTGGAAGGAATACCCAAAAAAAAGAAAGTGGAAAGAGGTTTTTTCTTTGTTGTTTACACAACAAAATTTAGGGGTTTTAAGATTATTATTTGATTCTCTGAAGATTTCATGAATTCATTAGTGACACGATTTGATTTCTTAGGTCGATTTTGAGTTTTTTTAGTCTTTTGTGAGTATTTTTTCCTTTGGTTGTAGGTACATTGGGGTAAAATCGTAATAGTTGATTATATCCGTTGTTATAGTGATCCACAATATATCTCAAAAAAAATCAGTTATAGTATTCAGATTGTCTTTATTTTAATAAATTACATTTAGGGGCATATATGGTACTTATGAAATACATGGGGAGAGATTCATATAATTGTTGGAGACACCTGTTCTGGATTTAGTCAAGTCAGGTGACTGGTTCTGAGAAACTCCTTGGACCACAATACGTGATCCCATGCGTCATTTCAATAATTTCAATTACAGCTAGTTGAAAATTGCAGTGCAACAAGCTCACTGCTGGCTAGAATTGGGCAAATTCTATTTTATGCCCTTGTGGTTTGTCCCGGTAGCACTTTGCCCCATTGTGGTTTAAAAATAAGCACATAGTCCCCATATAATTTTAGACCAATTCGCACAACTAATACCGTTAGCAGGAAAGATTAAATTACATTAATACCCCACTGTCTTTTTCTTCCAATTATCTTCTTCTCCTCCTCATCAATGGCACTGTTAACATCAAAACCTACTAATATTAATTGTACTGTAAAATAAAAGTCACATGAACCAATTACAATTAGAATAATAAAATTCAAACCCACTTTTTCCCCTTTACTAGTGAAGCCCTCTTGTATCAATTGGTTCCCAAGTTCACAGATCTGGATTTAGAGTTCCAAAGTTCACGCCACAACAAACAACCAATGTAGGAGACACCACCGCAATAAACTATTGTCACATCTCAACGGAATCACGTTACAAATAATAGTAAAAACAGTGCATCAAAACATAGCAACCAACCCAGCTCTTCTTTGTTGTAAACAGAGCAACATTTATTTAATTTGTTGCAAAATCCAAACAAAATCAGAATCGAAATTAATTTTGATTTTTTATTTTTGGATGTGATTTGGATTTGGATTTTTTAGATTTTGAGTTTAATTTAGAATCGAAAGTGATTTCTCTTTCAAGTTCAATTTGGAATTAAAAGTGATCAATTTGGCATGGTGGGTTGAGGTAGCTAGTGGCTAAAAGTGGTTTTGGCATCGTCATTGTGGGTGGAGGTCGTTGATGGTGGTGGCGGCTAACTGAAGGTGGCTTTGAAGAGGCTGAAATTGGGCATATGAGTGGAGTTGGTTGTCAGCGCTGGTGGTTTTGTCGGAAGAAAGAAGACCCTTACTAGTGGTTTGGGTTAGTAAAAAGTCGTTAGTAATGGTGGTGGATATGGCCGGAAGAAATGAAGATAGTAATAGGGAAGGCATAGGTGTTTCGATAAAAGGTTGAAGAAGATGGAAGAATATTTTGTCTTTTTACATTAATTATTGACTTTGATTGAAATTTTTGGCACACCACTCTGAAATTTGGTGCATGTACCACAATTTTCGTCAAGTTGAATGAAAATTGTAACAGTTGCAACTTGGTCCAAAACTACATGGGGGCTATGTGGCTATTTTTGAACCACAAGAGGACAAAGTGCTACAGGAACAAAAAAAAGGGTATAAAATGAAATTTGCCCTTATAAATTATTGATGGTTTTACGATCGATTTCAAACACACAAAACTTAAAACTTAAACCTCAAAAAGATATAATTTGAATTCTCAAAATTGTAATATCATCCCAAAAAATTACAATTTTTTAGAATTAATCATTTTTTCACTTGTAATTACATATCAAAAGCTTATATCATAAACCACATAATTGATAAAGTTAGGTATACGTTATTCGGGGCTGGCCCAACAGTATAAAAAAAAACATGGGCTTTATGTCCCAGATTTTTAGAAGGTTCCATAATTTTATGTATATTATTAGCTCACAAAAAAAATTAAATCAAAAACCCAACAAAAAAACCCAAAAAAAATTAAATTCAATCAAAAACTTAGAAATTAAAAAAATAAAAAAAATACTCAAAAGTCATCTTGATATTTACTCTCACCCACTCTCTCTCTCTATCTCCAGTAAAAAAAATAAAAATTAAATTCAATCAAAAACTTAGAAATTAAAAAAATAAAAAAAAACTCAAAAGTCATCTTGATATTTACTCTCACCCACTCTCTCCTCTCTCTCTCTCCGGTAAAAAAAAATAAAAAATTAAAATAAAAATTAAAATTAAACAATCTCTCCCTCTATGTGATAAAAGACAAAAATAAAAATAAAAGTTGAAATTTTTTTTCGATAATATTAATACATCATTCTTTTGTCTCTCGCTCACGTAAAAAATTAAAAATAAATTAATTTTTTTATAAAAATAATATTAAAAATAAAAAGACCTCCATTATCCACTTAAGCCTGAGCCGCCCCTGATGTCATTGCTTTCGCACCAAAGAGAAAATCCTCAACAGTGAGGCAAGCAATGACAATATCACCATAAAAGTTTCTCCAAAAGGTCCCCATGAAAAATATCTACACCCCTCTACAGCCATTAAAACAATCCATATAAATACCACACCCAACTTCATTTTGATTCAGTTAATTTTTTCTTCTCAATCTTAAAGCTTTTCACAGTTATAACAATGGCGGATGAAGTGATTCTCTTGGACGTTTTGGTAAGCGCTGTTGGAATGAGGGTGAGAATTGCCTTGAGAGAGAAGGGTATAGAGTTTGACTGGAGAGCAGAGGACTTAAGCAATAAGAGCCCCCTGCTACTGAAGATGAACCCTGTTAATAAGCTAATCCCAGTTTTGATCCATAATGGGAAACCAGTTTGTGAGTCACTCATCATTGTTCAGTACATTGATGAGGTCTGGAAGGACAGGACTCCTCTGTTGCCTTCTGATCCTTATGAGCGAGCTCATGCAAGGTTTTGGGCTGACTATGTGGATAAGAAGGTGAGTTTTCTTCCATTTGTTAATATGTATATAGGCAGGGGTGTTAATCGATATTAACTTGTCGAGCTTGAGCTTGAGTGTGGTTAGACTTGACTATGAGTAGCCGAGTTCGAAGTCGAGCTCAGTTTGATTGCTGAGTTTAGATTCTTGCTCAAACTCAAAATAGGCTACGTGCAAATTGCACAACAACTACTGTATATAAAAATACACGTGTCTGCACATGTAGCCATGGGTTGGACTCAAATATATGTGGAATATTATGCAGATAATCAGCACTGGAAGGCAGGTGGTGTGCACTGCTGAGGGTGAAACCCAAGAAGCTGCAAAGAAAGAACTCAGGCAATGGTTCAAGACACTGGAAGGAGAGCTTGGAGACAAGCCTTACTTTGGAGGCAAGACCTTTGGCCTTGTGGACATAGCTCTTATCCCCTTCTACAGCTGGTTTCCTTCCTTGGAGACCTATGGCAACTTGAGCATGGAGGCAGAGTTCCCTAAAATTGTGGCATGGGGTAAGAGATGCTTGAAAAAGGAGAGTGTGTCACAGACCCTACCTGACCAGCGCAAGATGCATGACTTCATCGTGGGTATCAGAAAGAAAGTTGGGCTTTAGTAAAGCCCTGGAAGATGGTGGTTTTGTTCCGTCTGTTTCGAGTTTTTTTTTTGTGTCAGAGCATATGTAGCCGACTCCAATTAGTTTGGATGAAGGTTTCTTGTTGAGCTTAGTGTTTGAATTTTTGTCTTTGTTACTAGGGGCGCGATGTTTGTTACAATAATGTTCACATAGGTTGTGAACTCTTGTTCTAATAAACATATGGTGTCTCTTTGCCTTTTATCTAATATAATGGATTGAAATTTGCATCTGTTTTATGTAATATAAATAGGGGTATTCAAATTTTCGATTATCAACAAATTTTGATTCTGCTTTATCTTTTTTGACCTTACTGATCGGCTATTCAAAAGAATTGGATGGGCCACGAGAAGATCTTTTTGTATTCTGTAAAAAATCGGGTAAGAATCGAAATACGTATAAAATTTTCGTACTCCTATTCCACCTTACCCGCATATATATTTGTTAATCCTTAAAAATTAAAATCTAAAAATTTAAAAATTCTAATGTTTTATTCATGTTTATGACTGTTTATGACTTTCTTATATATGAAGTATGGACGTTTATGATTTTTTTGTTGTGTTATATTATAATTGTTTATATATTATCGAATTTATTGTATTTTTTTTAGTGTTATTAGTTTATTGTATTAATTAATTGGTACAAGTTACTTAATTAAATTGTTAAAATAAGTCAAAAATTAATAACTAAAAAATATGTGTTCACCAGATTTTTTACCTGATTGTTTTGGATGAAATTCGGGTCAGAATAGTACACTTGATCGAATAGAGTAGATCAAGAAAAAATTCTTCCGCAAAATTTTGAATAAGAAGATAAAATATCATAATTTATATCCGTAGAGTTAGGTGAACACCTCTACATACATGATGACAAATTGGTCTGATCATTTATGTTTTTGAGTTTCTTTAAGAAGTATTTATATCCACTATCAATTCAATGGTTGAAATTATCAAGTCTAATTTTTAAATTTATTTTGTAAGTCCATCTAGCATTACTTGTTTATATATAAATCTCACTGCACCAAACAATGGGACTAGTTAAGTAGCAGCAAGGCCCAAAATTTATGGCTACTCCATTGAGAAAGACAGAAGTTACTGTTTTTTTTTTTTTTGAAAAACAATTATATTCATATTTTCATTCAAGTAGAAAAATATTGGATACAATCATATGATAGTACAACCTTAAGCTCGAAGGAGGGGCAACTGACCCAACTCAAAGAAATAGAATTAGACATAACATTTGCTTCGACCCAGTGAATTGCTCTAATAAACGCCCTTGACTTGTAGAAAAACTTTAAATTAAGCGCTTTGGACAGATATATGATATCTTCAATGATGCTACTGATTTTCCATGGTGCTGAATAGTGATATTTTAAAAAATTTAAAGGGTCATTGCTCCTTAAGCCACAATTGTGTCCCAAGGAATAAGGAGGAAATCGAAACCTATTATTTAATCATGTCAAATGAGCTTTATTAAACTAAAATGTATCGATCGATCATATCATATCGTGTTTAAATCGCCGTATACGTATGAATTAAACATTCAGGACTGTTGGAAAATTCATTATCTCTCAACTACCCCTCCCGAAAGGCCTCTCATTCAAAACTATGCAAAAGAAAAAAAAAAAAACCTTAATTCTAACAGTTATACAAAATATCGAATCTAAAAAATGAAAAAATTCTAAAGTTTTTATAATACACTCACTGTCAGTTAAACGGTTTTATTATGTAAAACCAAATTACTTATTAATTATTCATATTAACACATCATGTTATTCTCTTGTTTGTATACAAAATTATTTTATTATTTTTGTATTTCTCTTAACGATTTATGGTGCAGATCTAGCTATCTTGGTACGCAATTTGATCATGAATCACAATGAGATGATCAGATATGAAATTCACAATTCGATCATGTGAAACTGATAGTTCGATAAAAAATAATAAAAAAATCAATGGTCATGTTGTGATCACTCTTTGCTACGATGTTTGCGTGCCAAGTGTCAAGTTTGCCTCTAGGCCCCTGAAGCTTCTTTACTATATTTCAAACACGACAAAATACACATTAAATATAAAATATATTTTCAAAATTTTACAACATCCCAAGCTCGTGGATGGGCTAGAAAATGCCAGAAGAGGGAGAGTGTGTCCAATTCTCTTCCAGACTCTCATGTGGTCCTTGACTTTGTTGTGCAGCTTAGTTATAGATTAGGATTATCATACGAGCACCATGGTGAAGCTGAGATTATGTTCCATTTGGTAGTAAAGATGAAAAGTACGAGAAATAAAAAATAAGATAAATATACTTTTTATCTTTTAAGAAAATAAAGTAAAAATGATACATTTTTTTTCTTTTGTGTTTTGTAGGATAGATTGAAAATAAAAATAATTAATTTTTTTTTTGTGCTCGGTAAGATTAATTTCTTTTATTATTATTTTAAAAAAATATAAATACATATTTTATTATTGTATTTATATATAAAATTAATGTACACACAATAAATGTATATATCAAAGGATATATAAACAAATAAGATATATTTCAACACAAATAATTAATTTTTTATCCACTTTCGTTCTAACTTTGGTGAGTTGTAGGAAAAGTTTGATGATGCACAAAATGACTTTGCACACCACCTGTTAAGTGTAAATAATAAATGCAGTAAAAATAAAGAGAGAATTGGAGGAGACAAGATTTATAGTAATTTGGTCAACGTGACCTACGTCTACTTTTGAATGACTTTGGTCGTCGGGTGCTTTTATTAGCTCAAGGGTGTGGGGAGCAGAGAGTACAAACTTTGAGGGAGAGTCGTTCTCCTAACAAATTTGAGCGAGGTATTAGTAACTACATAACTATTCTGGTGGAGCTCACGACTTCTCCTCAACGGGCTAGGCAGTTGTGGTGCTCTCCATGAGATTCGGTCAAATGATGACGTAGATGTTGACTCTTTCCAAGGGAAAGAGAATAAGACTCTTGATGCTCTCTTGATGACGTAGCGTAGCTTCCTGATGAGCCTAACTCCAAGGTGGCTAGGATGAGCTTTCTTACTCCAATGTGGGTATGATGCGCCTTACTCCAAGGTGGTAGAGGAGGAGGTTATTGGATGACATTGCATGATTCTCTACTGATGTAACTCGTGGAACCTGATAAACTTGATCGGGTGCAGACTCCTTAGGGCTTGGCTAGTTGGACCTATTAGAGTTGGGCCCTTGGGCTTGGCCCATCATTTGTCCCTTAATGCCTTGTGTCCAATGGAGCTTGGAGAGGAGGGCATTCAGTTGAGTTTGAATTTTCGGTTGACCAGTGCAACTGAAAAAACTTCGGGAGGCCAAAACATCTGTTTCTAAGCCTTTTTTTGGGATTTTTACAGCATCAATCATAATCAAAGGCTGTGAATCTTGTAGGGCTCGCCGATAGCTTCGATTTGATATATAATAAGCCTCAATTTGAGTAACGAAACAAAAGTTACGGTCAAACTTTCGAGCAAAAAATTTGGCGAGCGATTTGGGAGAGCAGACACTGATTTGGGGGAGTAGGGGGGTGTCCTGGGCGAGCTGGAGGTGTCCTGGGCTAGTAGATTTTTTTTTTGAAAAATTTTGGGAGGCTAAAACAGCTGTTTTTAAGCCTCGTAGGACTTGCCGAGAGTTTCGATTTGATATATAATAAGCTCCTTTTTGGAGTTATTGAACAAAATTTATGATCAAAATAGTGAGTAGGCGTTCGGACAGCTGCGTGCAGGCCAGTATGGGGGCTGCCCAGGTCAGCAGACGTGCAGCAGGGGAGCTAAGCAACAGCCTGGACATAGTGGCAGATCCGACCGCCACTTCAGGTGCTGATTTGGGCACCTTTGGAGCTGTTTTGTGCAACTTTGGGGGGCCAGACAGTGCTAGGCTGCCCCGTTTGGGCAAGCAAAGGTGGTTAGACATTTCTCTAGGTGCTAAACTATTTTGTTTGGGCGAGTATAGAGCGTTAGACACCTTTCCAAGTGTTGGGCTGCCTCGTTTGGACGTGCAAAGAGCGTCAGACACCTCTCCAGGTGCTGGACTGCCTCGTTTGGGTGAGCACATAGGATCAAACACTTCTCCAGGTGTTGGGTCACCTCGTTTGAGCGAGCACATAGGATTATACACCTCTCCAGGTGCTGGGTTGCCTTGTTTGGGCGAATAGAGAGCATCAGACACCTCTCTAAGTGTTAGGCTGCCTCGTTTGGGCGTGCAAAGAGCGTCAGGCACCTCTCCAGGTGTGCTGGATCAAACACTTCTCTAGGTGTTGGACCGCCTCATTTGGGTGAGCACATAGGATCAGACACCTCTCTAGATGTTGGGCCGCCTCATTTGGGCGAGCACATAGGATCAGACACTTCTCTAGGTGTTGGACCGCCTCATTTGGGCGAGCACATAGGATCAGACACCTCTCCAGGTGTTGAGCTGCCTTGTTTGGGCGAGTAGAGAGCATCAGACACCTCTCCAGGTACCGGGCTACCTCATTTGAGCGAGCACATAGGATCAGACATCTCTCCAAGTGCTGGATTGCCTCGTTTGGGTGCCTTGGGTGAGCCTGGGGTGCCTCGGGCGCTTTGAGGGAATGCGTTGGGAGATTTAGGCGAGCCTCGGGCTGCCTTGGGAGAGCCTGCTTGTGATGATAGAAACAATGTTATTCCCAACATTAAAATATCTCACATAATTACCTGGAAAGAGAGGTAGGCTGCTTGCGCAAGAACAAAGACAGAGTTGGAGAACTACTCGTGAGAGAGCTACACCTTTTGAGACCTAGCTTTTGGCGACCTATGAGAGAGTCTTTAAGCTTGAGGTATAGGTTACCTGTTTGAGAATAGTGCCGAGACCAAGCTTTTTTGGAGACTTGCGAGAGAGCCACTAAGCTGAAGATAGACTGCCTGTTTGAGAACAGTATAGAGGTTAAGCTTTTTTGGTGACCCGTGAGAGAGCCGCTAAACTGGAGATAAGCTGTCTGTTTAAAAACAGTGCAGAGGCTAAGCTTTTTTGAACGACCCGCAAGAGAGCCACTAAGTTGGAGATAAACTGCTTGTTTGAGAACAGGGCAGAGGCAGATCAAGCTTCTGGTGATTTACGAGATGATTCGAGGCAAGTCAAGCTTTTGGTGATCTGCGAGATGATTCAAGGCAGGTCAAGCTTCTGGTGATCTACGCGATGATTCACCTCGCCTAGACCTGTTGATTTCCTTAGTATTCATATATTTTTTAACATTTACCAATAGTTCTTGCATGCTCTTTGGTGGTCACTTCATTATTGAAAAAAGGAATTTGGATGAGCGGATGCCTCCCAGAAAGGCGATCATGGTGACTTTGTC